ATTATCGGGAGTTATACAATATTAGCGGGCGCAAAACTAAAAAATGATATATAAAAAAAAACATACAGAGCTATTTTTGATTTCGGCATAAATCAGAGATTAATTTGAATCATAATCATAATGAAGGTGTAACATGTACACAGTTGTGTCTGTTTTGGGGGAGGGTAGGATTGTGTGTAGGATTTGCCGGTAATAGGCTTATGTCAGACGGAGGAATTCTCTGGGGGATTACAATGGTCTGCCGTTCAAGGTCTTATCTATGTTTCTTGGCTGAGATTACAAGTTGGTAAGCAAGAGATATAAAACCCTATCTCTTCTGTTTGACTTGCTCTGTTGTAAGTGTTCTGTGGATCTACTTTGGACATCATGAGTGGAACTTACATACGTACTTTCCTCTGCTCTGTTCTTGGATCCTCTTCTTACATGTGCATATGTATGTATGTATACTCTGTGATGTCATCTGCTGAGTACTCTCTGCCATATGCAAATCTAATGCTAATGCAACAGCTTGAAGCTGGGGAAGCCTTTGTCTTAGCCAAAATTGGCAACACACACATTTTCTTCGTCTTACTTAACAGCGAAGGCGAACGGAAGTGATTAAGAAAGGCAGAGAGTGGCCCCCCTGGCCTCTCTCCCTCTTTCTCTCTAACCATCTCTGTCCATCTCTCTCTCTCTCTCCCGCCCATCAAAGAAAGTGAAGAAGAAGTCGAAATGAGGGAGGAGGAGACGAATAGACGCTTATGCAAATGCTAACTAGTCCGATGAAAGAGCCACTACAGATACATCTACATCTGCATCTGCTGTTGGCCTGTGTATCTGTACATCTGCAGCAGCATATCTGCCACAGCTGTTTTGTCTAGCTGTGCGCTCTGTGATGTAAGCCAGTCCAAAATGGTGCTTCTCCCCGCCTCACGAAAAACTCTTTCTCCATTCCATTCAAACCGACCAACCGACCGACCGACTGCTCTTAATTTATGCAAATGCGACAACATTTCTTCGACGGCTTTCTTCAGATGCAAAACACTTTATATCGCACACTACACCTCCCCCCTATTATAGTATATGTGTATACATATATATATATATATGTAATATGCAGTAATAACAATAAAGTTTTTGGCAATAGACCGTTTTGGCGTCAACACGCTTTCAACCAAAGCTGGGGGTGGCCAAGCCGAACCACAAATAAACAAAACAAAAACACCGCGAAAATCTACAAAAAATCTTTACAAAATCTTTTCAGCGAGAGAGTGAAATGTGAATACAAATAAAAAAAAAACACCTAACCACCCAACAAATTAGTTTAGCACTTTTGAAAGTTGTCAGAGGAGAGAGAGAGAGAGAGAGAGCGAGGGAGTGAGGAGTGATCGCAGGGAAGCGGATATATGGACATACGGACGTACCCGTCATACGCCTTGCACACTAAAATGCGGGCCTGGGCCCCGACTTTGTCTTGAGTGAAACATAAAACTCTTTATAATTGCACTGTAAACATTTCACTTTCGTTTTTATTTCGCCTTTTTTGGGCTTTGTCTTGGAAATCATTTACTTTACACAAAATGTCGTCTCCGCGCATCGTGCACAGAATAATTTCTGTGGCGGCTGGCTCTCGCTCTGGCTCTGGCTCTGGCAGTGGCTCTGACTGTCTCTCTCCGCGCTTTCCCCATATCGTCCGACAATATGTGGGTGCTTAAAGATAAAGATTGTGATGCGAGGCAGGGGGGGGGAGGATTCAATTAGCATCTGTCCAGATTATGGGCACCAGCATTTGCATTAATGAGGCGTGTGTTTCGAGACAACTGCCAAATCGTGGCAGCTACTGGCAACGACCCCCACGAGTGACCCTTGGCTGCTGCTTGGGCCTGGCTGGGGTTTGGGGCTGCCGACATTTCCCCTGGTCCTACCCAGTGATTGCAACACACAACAGTTACAAGTTACACCCAACCCCAACTATACTAATGATATGAATTTCGCTTGGGTTCCTTGCAGATCGAACTCCAAGGCCTCGTATCTGCCGCGCCAGAGCCTGGAGAAGCTGAATAATACGGACCCGGACCATGGCATCTACAAGCTCACCCTCACCTCCAACGAGGACCTGGTGGCGCACACGAAGCCCAGCTATGGGGTGAGCGGCAAGCTGCCCAACAATCTGCCAGATGTCCTGCCACTGGGCGTCAAGCTGCAGCAACAGCCGGCGAAGCCACAGCCCGGCTCTCCGAACGGAGAGGGCAACGTGACTCTGCGGTACGGCTCCAACAATAACCTCGCAACGAAATCGCCTACGAACGCCACACCTCACTACACCATGATTTACGGCCAGGCTATGGCTGGTGGGGGACAGCGATACTCCACGCCGCCACTGGGACACGGCCACTACGGAAAGGCGTCGCCCCAGCACTACACGAGATCTCAGTCGTACGACGTGAAGCAGACTGCAGTCCTGCCCGCACAGAAACAGCACATGTCCCAGTCGCATGTGGACCTGAAGCAAGCCGTCCATGACCTCGAGACGACGCTGGAGGAGGCCATGCCCATGCCCACCGAGACACCGACGACAACGCCAACGCCACCGCGCCTCTCGCCGGCCACATCCAACTCGGACTGCAGCCTGAGCTCGCACAACAGTTCGCTGGAGTGCAGCATTATTCCTAACACAAATGCGAACACGGTTCCTAATCCCGAGGCGCACATCTTCCGCGCCGAGGTGATCAGCACCACCCTGACAACGAGCGCACCTCCCAAGCCGGTGATGAACCGCCAGGAATCTCTGAGAGAGAACATCGAGAAGATCACTCAGCTGCAGTCGCAGCTAATGTCCGCTCATCTGTGCGACTCCGGCTTGCTCGGTGGCTACAACAGCACCAAGTTGGCCCACCTCAACACCAACCCCAACCCCAGTCCCAGTCCCAGCACAGAGTTCCAACAGCTGTCGCTGCAGCCACCGCCGAGTCCGCCCAGTCCACCGCCCGTCGAGGAAGATCCAATTGAAGCACAAGCAGCGGCCATCGAAGGTCTGCAGCTGATGCAACGCAGCGAGCTCGTTCTGATGGTCAATGCCAAGCCCAGCACCATGGACATGGCCTGTCAAACGGATGAGATGGCGGACCGAGACACCGATCTGGTGGCAGGACGGGAGGAGCAGCAGACGCGGACCACACTGCAGCCGCGACAGCGTCAGGCCATTGAGATGGACTACGAGAACCTGAGCAGTGAGCTCCTGAAGCTGCTGGCGCCCAACGACAAGCTCGTCGACATCCTCACACCAAAGAGCTGCAAGCCCACCTCCCACTACGTTAGCAATCTGTACAATCCGAATGTGCCACTGCGTCTGGCCAAGCGGGACGTGGGCACCTCGACCCTGATGCGAATGAAGGCGGCAACGACTCCGGCAGAGGCCACCAAGGTGGTCAGTGTGGAGCTGCAGCTCGGCGATGCGATTAGCGAGGGAGCGAATGTCATCAAACAGAAGCTGGTTAGTACTCACTGAAGCCTGCATCACGTTCACTTAACTAATTATCCATGTACTCCCCTTTAGGATGAGTTGATCAAACGGTTGAACCAAAAAATTGGCGCCCTCAAGCATGAGCAGCAAACCATCGGCGAGGAGTGCTCGACGAACGACAAACTGGGCCAGGATCTGTTTGCCAAGCTGGCGGAGAGTGTGCGCCCCAGCCAGGCGTCCAAGTTCCGGACCTACATCGACGATGTGGGCCACATCACAAGTCTGCTGCTTTCCCTGTCCGAGCGTCTGGCCCATACCGAATGCAGCCTGGAAACGCGTCAGCAGGATAAGGTGGGTGTCAGCATGCCATTATGCCATTATGCCATTTTGCAATTTTGCCATTCTTCTTCTGAACATATGCTTATGTATGCTTTTCCCCATCTCCAATCCCCAATCCATAGAGCGTGCTGGAATCGAAGCGGACGCGTCTGTACGAGCAGCTGGAGGAGGCGCAGCGCCTCAAGTCGGACATCGATCGACGCGGCAACAGCATTGCCGGCCTCCTGGGCAAACATCTCAGCGCAGATCTGTGCGCAGACTACGACTACTTTATCAATATGAAGGCCAAGCTGATTGCCGACGCACGCGACCTTGCCGACAGGATCAAGGGCGGCGAGGAGCAGCTGGGCGCCCTCACCGATGCGCTAGTCCAAAGCGATTGCTAAGTTGCCCCGACTGCCGACCAATTTTCCCAGCTGTCAACTCAAAGTTGAGAGCCGCACGAGAGAATTATCCAGCCGTCCGCAATATGTATTAGTTTAAAACGATGTGCTTAATTTCAACGCCCACACTATAATGTATAATTGTATGTTCATTTGTGATTTTCAACTAGCTTGTAGGTTAATTATTCTATGTATCGGCCGCCTAAGCGTAAGCATTTTTTACATAATTATCAAAGCAAAGATAAACATTATGCATTAATAAAACTATAAAAACTACGACAAATTTGACATGGCGGAGGAAAAGGTATCCAAATTGTCTTATACTGGTTTATTCTTCTATATAACCAATCTTACTGTGATGAACATCCACATCTAATTTTTAAAATTTAAGTTCCAACGGCTTTCCAACAACTCTATTTTCAGTGTTTAAAAGTGCCGCACAGCAGTTCATGACAACAGCTGTTTCACCATAGTCTATCGATAGTGCACTCGAAAGTTAATAAGGGGTTTCAACTATTGTTAGACCATCTCAATTACAACGAAATGGAAACAAAGTGCCTTGGCAGTTTTTCTTTTAACCTTATTATGTAAAGAATCCCATGACGAAGAGTTTTAAAAACTAGCCAATCTAATACAAAATTCATTGATGAATTGTATAACACAATTTGTTAAGGGCTAAGAGGGCTAACTAGCAAGTAATATTAAATCGAATATCAAAATTGATGAATTTGATTTTCCACGGTATATTTAGGGTAATTTATGAAAAAGAGAATTTATATTTTTGAGGGTCAGATGGTCACACTAGAAAGTGTGAATGGCTCATTTTTGCGTCGAAAAGTGAGCTCCAATTGGATTTTTACAATTCCAATACCGTTTGTCCGCAATTGGGAAAATGGCAAATTCCCAACCAGAAAAAAGGGACCATATATTTTTTTAGTTTGGCCAAAGGTTTCATTTTCAAATTTCGGAATTCAAATATTTTCTCCTCGGTCACACTGACCCCACCACGACCAATAATAAATACGGCAAAAAATTAAAATTCGGCAAATACACGATATAATCTGTGCAGGTGCGTTAAAATTAATATACACAGATTAAGGCTCGTTAAGGCTTATGGGCTCGCCAAACGAGCGGCCGACAACAGAAGTTAAACTTGGCGGTTGGCGCTTTAACAATTCATAAAAGTATTTCTATTCCACAAAACAAACCTCTCTAAGTTCAATTCAATGTTTTTTCTTTAAGATTTCATTGTAACCACGGAAGCGGTTTTAATATGTCACTTATTAAAAATTTGGTAAAAGAAACGGAGAACAAGCCCAAGAAAAAAAAGAAAGATGCTGGATCCGGGGACAGCGATTCTGATGGCAAGGGAGGGCCACTGCGACCATTTGTCAAAACGGCTACCGATCTGCAGAGGCTAAAATTGGAAAAACTTATGAAGCATCCTGTAAGTGCAAGCAAATTTGTTCAGTAAATGTACTAAACATTGGCTTATAATTCGCAGGAGAAGCCCGTAATCATACCAGAGCAGCGTCGCGAACGGGACTACAACGCGTCGGTGCCAACATTTGTGCGAAACGTAATGGGAAGCAGTGCCGGAGCTGGATCCGGCGAATTTCATGTTTATCGACATTTGCGTAGGAAGGAGTATGCCCGCCAGAAAAATATACAGCATCAAAGTGCCCGTGAGGCTGCAGACGACGCCTACCAACAGAAAATAGATGACAACCGACGCTTGGCCGAGGAGCGCACAGCCAAAAAGAGGGCTAAGAGGCTCAAGAAGAAACAGCGAGCAAAGAAACCGCGAGAACAAAAGACGGACGTAGCTAAACCAGAATCGGAGTCGAGTGGAAGTGCGTCGGAAGGGGAAGATGTTGAGGAGAAGCCAGAGACGGCAGATCAGAATCCAGATACAGCAGACCCAAAGCCAAACGTGAACTGCGATGAAGGCCAACAGCGTCCTGAAGAAGCCAGCTCTGAACCGCCAGAGACAGTGGATCTTCAGGATTCTTCTGCAACTAAGCAAAACGAGACCTGATTTTATTACTCTAATCTAAGGTCTCCACTTTGAAAAAATACATGTTCTAGTTTATTAATAAAACAAAATTGCAGTTTTATTATTTATATGGTTTTAGGTATATGCATACTAAGCGAATTCTATACATCGTTCGTATCTTGTGTGTTTGTCATCTGAGGCCATCATCTTAAAGCAGCTTTGGTGTGAAAAAAGCAATGAATTGTCTTGATTTTAGTGCGTTTCTAGTCGTATAGTAGTATAAACGGTGCATATATAATTGCATTTAGTCGAATGCAGTAAATGCTTTCGAAATTTGACATCAATGGCTATAAATAGTCAAGAGGGCACTTGTGTAGTGATACCCTGTACAAACATAGTCCATTGAACAATCTTTTCAAGAACCAGGGCATACAAATTTCTACTCGTTTGGGGTTTCTGTTTCTTGAAGAAGCAAGTTTTTTATTGATTCCAGTATATCGTTTTCTTTAATTCTTGTTCTTGTGTTCTTGTTTTCTGCTTTTTGTTTGTCTTGGATGCATTCCATAAGAATTTCAACTCAATTTCCACAAATAAATATGTATAGTAGGTATAATATTAATATATATATATATTTGCTTTTGCACTTATACAAACTATTAAAATAAATTTGCAGCATTTTTCTACTATGTAAACCGTAAACGTAAATCATATTTTGAACTTAAAGCCAACTTAAACATGTAAGCATTTTGATAGATTTTGTTTTTGTTAGATCCTTCTTTCGCAAAAAAGAACACAAAACAGAGCAGAGTGAATATGGTAAAAAGAAGCAATAATTACCTCATTTATGGTAAAATAAAAGTAGGTATACGAATTGTATAATTCTCAATAACAAGATTCTCTGGTGAATAAAAGTTGTCGTTAATCGTTGAAATACTTTTCCTTGCTTCGCCGTTACCATGCCTCATTTGCAAACATTTAAACACTTTCAACAACATCAATGTAATTTTTTTGAGTGTTTGTTTGTGGATGGAAAATCAAAATTTATCTACCGGAACATTTTTCAGATGAATATATTTGGTTGTGCAATTGCCAATACTCTCCATCATTCAGCTATAGACATATTTTTCTGCTTGTGCCTGTTTCGTTTAGCGAGCCGCTGCTTGGGATTAGCGAAGGGTCGACCGACCACACAGCATTACAATAAACGATAATAATAATCGTAGGTGTATATGTATAGGCATTAACGTATATGTACTTTGTATATAGTAGGTAGGTAGGTAGTTACATAGTTAGTTAGAAGGTCGTACAATTAAATAAATAATTATTTTCTCGATTCTGCATTTTGCATCGGGTTTAAAATACACTATGTTCATTTTGCTCACGGACGCTGACACTGAAAGCGTCTAGAAAATAAACTTGCTGAAGGTGGCTGAGACTGTTGTATTTATGTGTGTGTTGTGGTGTGTGATTTATTATATTAGCTTTATTTATTTTAAAATTGAGAAGTAAGCAAAACTTTGCTGAGTTTATCTTTGCTTTAACGACACTCCCAGACCTTAACTGTTTGATCCACACTGCCACTGATGACGTACGGATGCGCCTTGTGAAAATCTGCAAACAAACGAAATATATGTATATTTAGTGTGTGGACAACAATGCAATCGAGTCCTTTTCTCTACTCACCTATGGAGGTGCAGAAATGCTGATGTGCGTATAGCGTCTTCATGCATCGCTTGTTGCGCAAGTCCCAGACTCTGATGGTCTTGTCATCACTGGCCGACACCAAATACTTGCCACCCGGATGGAATGCCAAGCCACGCACCCAATTGTCGTGGCCACTCAGCGTGAGCAGGCACAGTCCAACGCTCACATCCCAAATGCGTATAGTTTTATCTCGGGAACCGGATGCCAGGAATGGACCCTGGTGGTGACCTTTCTTGTTGTCCGCTCCGGCTGCTTCGTTTATCGCTGATGCTGCGGCTTCCGGAGCCCAGGCAATGCACTCCACGGTGTGGTCATGATCGCGTAATTCAACCTGTAAATATGTAAATCTGTTGAAAGTCCATTGCTAGACAATAATTCCTAGAATGTTTACCTTGCAGTCTTTTGAATTCGTCAACCAAACACGTATTGTGTGATCATTTGAGCATGTGGCAAAGATGCTGCCCTCAATGTGCACTCGCACCATTCGCACCCACTCCCTATGGCCAGTATATGTCTTCACGCAGTACCTGTCGAGCAGAATGAAATGAGTTAGTACCTAGCATCCATCTTTCATCTTGGATTAGCAGCTTACCCTGTGGCCACCTCCCACATTTTGATGGTTCGATCACGTGAAGCAGACAAAACATAATCGCCGGCGGGCACAAAGGCCACCGAAGATACATTGTGATCGTGACCATGCATTGTCTTGACACATTCGTAACTCTGCTGGAAATCCCACAATTTGATGGACAAGTCTGCGCTGCAGGAAGCTTTATTCAATGAAGAAGCGAATCCATTAGTTCGGTTTGAAAGCATATTGGTGCTAAATTAACGTACCCAAGAGCTTGCCCTGGGAATCAAATGCCACGTCCTGCACAGAGTCGGTGTGTCCTTTTAGACTACGCTCATATTCGCCAGTTTCGAAATCCCAAATCTTAATGGTGGCATCTTCCGATGCTGAAACCATGAGGCCAAAAATTGGATGAAATATAACCTGGAAAAAAAATCCTTTAGTTTTTTATGCTTCTATCGAATTGACTTATTATCTTTCACTTACCCTCGTTATGCTGGCTCGATGCCCAGTCAGAGAGTACTTCTCTGGCGGGCGAGGTATCCATTCGCCGGGCGTGCGTTTGTTCTTTGTGGGCGCGCCCTCGATAACCTCTTTCTCAGCTTCAGTAAGCTTAGCCTCTAGTTCCATCACCTTCTTCTGCAACCGTATGACCGACGTCCACTTCTTCTCCAGCAGACCGCCATACTTCTTCTCCGCCTCTGTGCTGACATCGGCCTCCTTGCGAAAGGTCTCTAGTGAGTCGCCGTAGCCATTTGAGCCCAGATAATCGGCAATCGCTTGGTTACTGTTTGAAAGAAAGTAAAAGTAAGCTGAATCAATAGATTGGTGCAAATAATTGATGGCTTAACTTACAGCTCCTCGCGCTGCCGCTGCGACAACACCATTTTCATACTGTTCTCCGATTTGGCTTGTTTTCTGGTCTTTGTTGTTCGCTTTTTCCGTTTTCAATTCGTGCAGCTCTGCAATGCAAGAATGAAATGATATGATGAATTGCTGTACTGGAAACAGGAAATTAGTTTCGCAAAAGTTAAATGCCAAAAATGCCACAGAGTTTCGTTTGAGTTCTCATGGAGGGCAAGTCACCCACATTTCGTTGCGTTTTGCGATTTCGACAAGAGTGCCCCCAAAACCAAAGCGGGCAGAGGCATTTGTGTCTGTTTCGTATGCTCATCTTTCGTCTAGTCATTATAGTGTTTCTTTATACAGAGCTAAAGCGGAGCATCATCATCATCACCATCGTGAGCAGTTTCTGTTTCTGGCACAAAGTTTCGAGTGGAGACTACCATTAAAGCGCACATTGTATGCGAATCTCAGCAGGGCTTCGAAGCAGCCAAATAAATACCTACATACATAACTGTACAAAAGGAAGTAGTCGAAACACTCTCAAGCTCAAATTGAATAGTTTGTGGAACTACAATTGACGTGCACTGGCCTGCAATAGGTTCAAGGGTCGCACGACAATCGAAGCATTCAAATGGAATTAGACAAGGTAGCATTTATTGCTGTTTGTAGCTCGCTACAACCATAAATAGTGCGACAAGCTGTTGCTGCTGCAAGACCATTTAATTGACTCTCAAGGTGGGGGAGAAGCAAAAGCAAGAGCAAATCACAGGTAGCACGCAATAAAGCGACAATCGGGAACGCAGCGAACACATATCGCTATCGCGTACACGAGAGATAACCAATAGACCATTGAGCGGTACGGTTCGCACGCGCTGCAAACCTCTGCAAAGGCAGCCATTGACAAAGCCAATTAGCTAGACTTAACGGCAGTTCAAGCAACTTCTTATAGGCAAATAAGGGGACCGGAGCGGAATGCGAAAGAGGCAATACAAGCAACACAAAGTCCAACCTTACACTCACACACACAACGCACATACACGCACGCAGACTAGGAAATGACGTTTTCAAATTATTTTTGGCCAAATGATATTTAACGATTTTTTTGAACTAGCATACTGCCAACAAAAAGTGACCAAACGAGTTCAGTTCAGCAACGAACAGCAATACAGACTCGTACTTCAGGCAGAGTGGGATTTGACGACAGCGCATGGGACCAGCCAGGCCGTGACGTGACTCACCCACGGGACACAAATCGAGCGAGACTCTCGGGTCTTATCAGCTGTACAAGAACGGAACGGAACCTCTTTTTCCATGAGTGGAAGACATTTACAAATAGGAGTAGGTGGATAGATGATGCTTTCTGTTGGGACGGTGCAGACAAACTACTGCGCATCTAAATATAAATGAAAATCAATGAAATACAACAACAGCGCTCCCAACGTCACGCGTATAAATGGAAGCGGCGCGTGGGTTGGGCTGGTCGAGTGGGGAGTGAGGGTTCCTGGAGCTCCTCCAATGCCGAACCGAGTCAACAGAATTTCTGTTGTGGCAACCAAAATTCCAGCTCTTTGGCATGCGCATTGTAACTGTATCTGCCTGTGTGTGGGCTTCTGCTTCTGCTCTGCTCTGCTCTGCTATGAAAGAAACGGTGCCAAACGGCAAACACAATGGGCATAAGGGGGCGTTTGGGTCACACGCTGCAACAGCAGACACAGAAGTTGCAGGCAGAAAAGGGTGCCAGGCAACACGAATAGGAAAAAGGTAAAACCAACTTTGATTCTCACACTTGTGCTTGCTCAAGCTATTTAATATTTTAATTTTAAACGATTTCCACCTCTCAGAAGCTGTGAAACAGCTCGCGCGTGGGCGTGTGATGTCAGACAATGGTTGTTGGCAATGCATAACGACCAGGGCTGCCGCTCACTACATACTTTGACAGGATGCAAGCTCTCTTTCTCCCTTGATTGCTTGCTGTTCGCTCTCTTTCGCTCTTTCTTACGGCAGACCTTGCACTTGCTTTTTCTTTATGGCGCTGTTTTTTTTGTATTTGCGTGTTTCATTGATTAACCCACACACGCAAAGCACATGTACATGCAGCTGCAGTGCGAAAAACTGTTTCAAGTGCAGCAAGGAAATAATGCCGAAAGACGATGAGATGCGATAAAAGCTTCGAAGTCTATCGGATCGAACAGGGAGAGTAATAGACTTTGATTAACTGGGAAATTCATGTAATAATGCACTAACCTCTTTCTGGGAAAGTCGAAGCACTTGGTCATGTGCGGGTATTAAGATACGTCTTTATGAGATGGAGACCAAGAGAAAATAGATATAGCCCCTTTTGCTTTAAAGTTTAAACAATTTGCAGTGTCAAAAGGGCAGACAGCTCGGCTCCAGCGCTCCCAAGCTCAGCATTTTTCGCACATTCTGGGAAATTGCAACGGCAACGGTTATGTCTTCCGTCGTTAACAGAGCTCAAAAACCTACATAAGAGAATGCCCTGGCCATGGCCAAAGAAAAAACCCAAAACGGGAAAACTGTGAAAAAAGAAAATAAAACTAGATTTCTTCAGCATGTGCAGAACTGGTTTGGCGTATTTCGCCCATGTAAAGGTGTTAGGCGATCGGTGGTTTGTCTGTTGCTGCTAGAACTATTAAGCAAGGAATGGAGTATTAGTCGTTGTCGCTGCAGATATTCCGGGGAAGGAAATAGGTAAAAATCGATCAACGCTCGATGGGGCGAAGGGGAGGACACATTCTCCAACACATGCGCAAAAAATTCATACACATACACAGGCACACACTGCGGCGGGGAGTGATGTGTCATCGTTTTCCTGTGGTTGTAAATTGTAATTGTTTTTTTCTTTTTTGCATCGTTTTTGCACTGTTCAGTTATTTTTAGTTTATGTTTTACACATTTTTTCCCAATTTGCATAACTATTTCTCTTGCTTTTTTCAGTTTCTTTTCAATAACAAACACAAAGCAAACACAATAACAACAACACACACAAACGAAAATATAAACTGTTACGACGGCCATCTTGGATAGAGGAGGGGGTGCCATGAGACACAAAAAGGCAATATGCAAAATCGAAAATGGACAAATCCATCATTATACACTCGAAAGCATCACCAATGACTTTGAAATTATGCCTTTATTTATTTATCTCGATACATAACACACGCACTAACACACTCAAATTTCCAATGTCGTACGTATGACAATTTTTCCATTTTTTTCTCAGTGCCTCATTACATACCGTCGCTGTTGCGAAAATGGCTTTGACTATGCGGTTGATCGCGGCGATTTAGCTTCTTGTTTTGATTATGCGCATCGAATACTTACAATTATTTTGTAATTCATATACTATATTTATAATTAATCTGATTTATTTATGTATTTTGACAATTTTAGCAGAAAAGAGCGAGACGCTAATGCAGTGTGACCGTGACGATAACGATAAAAAATACCATCCGGCCAAAAAATAAATGTCATTTCAGTTTCGAGAAATACCATTTAAATACCATATCATAAAAAACCAGGGCAGTCCGGTGATCAAACGAGACTTAACTTACTTAACACCCTTCTATTTAAAAAGATGAGCAACCTTTGTTAAACCGCGGAAAATAATACTGTTTGTAAAGGCTCCTTGCAGCTCCATCCTACTCTTTACTAACAAAACAAAAATGACCACCGACATCTTTCACCTTTAATGCGTAAAATATCTTAAATCTACATATATATAATGGGAATTTTAAATACCCCCCTGGTCGACAATGGGATAACGTTCTATTTTATTGATTGAAATCGTATTCCATGATTTTTATTTTCAGTTTAATATTACTATCTAGTTATCCCTCTCAGCAATAAACAAATAATTTTGTCCGATAGATACATTTATTTCCTACAAGATTGGCTAGTTTTCAGAAGTATTTTTTATTGCATTGCTTACATAAAAGGTTCAAACAAATGAGGGCAAAGCATAAAACGTAAATGTTTCATAAATGTGACGTCATAGTTGCTGGTTAACCAAGTGTCCTCTATGCGTATGGGCTTTTGTATACCTTATTTCCTTTAAATGATGTTAAATTTGTTGTTCCAAGCTCCATTGATTTTATCCTGGGTTGACATGTTTTTTACCTATTAATGCATATGTATGTTTGGTGTTTTATAAATACATTTACCTCGGTTCTGATACTTATTATTGATACCCCTGAGCGTTAATATCTTTAAAACAGAGACTGAGTTGTTTCTGCATTAGAGGGCTGGAAACTCGATTTTACATTATGTATGGATACGTGTATAATGTACATAAACAATTTTGAGGCAATGCTGATAAGAAAGAAATCATGGGAGCATTATAACGAATGCTTTTTGACATTCCAAGACGGTTTGTGTGCCTTAAATGCGGCTTTTGCGCAACAAAACCTGATAGTCTCCAAGGCCATTTGGGAAAATGCCCCCATAGTTGCCGAAACAACAAAGTACTGGTACCAAGTACCAAATTATTAATTAAATAATTATCATACAATAAAATATTGATATGAAAATCCATTGTTTTGTGTTTTTTCATTTCAGATATAGTAAAGGTAAGCATTACTGAGCTTGAAAACAAGTCCCGATTATGCGATGGAGTAGCAGGCTATATACATATATAGCGCGTGAAAAACAACTACCGAAAAATTGCGTTATTATTTGTGCGCTAAATGGAGTTTGGATGTCATTTTGAAAAGTATCTTAATATATTGAAAAATAAATATTTGACTTATTTGCTTTGTCGGTGCTGTCCAGTGCGACTGGAACCTCAGAAATAAACCAAAATATACTTTCCCATTTTCGAAATATAACAAGAAAAAAAACGAACTTAACCCCCTTAGCCCCGCTTTACTTAAACAGTTAAACAGAGTAAATGGCATGTCGTAATAATTCTATAAGGAAACACACATAAAAATGTACAATGATCGCCATGATTCAAATCTATAAATATCGGGACTGAGTTTGTGCTTTGAAAGCCAATTCGTTTGTTTATGTAATTCGTTGAAATAACATGTAAGTGTTAATCAGTTTCAGGAATCCCCGTAGTGACTTTTTCGTGATAGCTGCTATCACAAAACGGCACTCATAATAAACCGTTTTTGCCTTACCTCGCCAATAGGCCGGCCGGTACGAGAACAAGACATCATATCAGTAGCCCGGCAGCATGTGTCTGTCATTGCTCAAAAGAAGTATGCTTGACAAAAAAGCGATCGAGAAATAGTTCGTTTTCCATTTAATATTCAAACACTACAGCGTTATATTAATATAAAGCGGTAACCTACTTCGTTCACCTAGTCCCACTTACGTTTGCTGTTCGTCGTCGATTCATCTCTTATCGCTAAAACTTGGATGGGCCTGTCCAACTCCTCTGGAGATGTTCGCCCAGCTCTGCCGCGGTTGTTGTACTTCCAAACACTTCTGACTGGCGGACCTATGCAAACGGGACATCTGGGCAACGGAACGGAAGCAGAAAGTTGGTTATCCGGCTGAGTATTGCCCATTTTTGCTGTGAATGGCTTACCTGGCTGCTTCTACTGCTGCTAATTGAGCGACAATCGGAGAGGGATAGATTTTAAGGTACATGCACATCAGACGATGGGCTACCAGCAGTATTGGCAGGAGAAGAAGGGAGCAAAGAAGAATGGCCAACCAAAATGCGTTCTTCATGTGAAAAAAATATAAACACGGTATTGGGAGAGTGGATAGTGGAGCATTGGGAGAGTGGCGAAATCTGTACTCACTATTGGATACACCAGGCGTGCACAAAGGAGGTTAACGCCTTGGTGGTAAATGTAGGCGAGGGGCTGACAGTGTCCTACGTTATTGTTGCCTTCCCAGATCACTCTTTCGATATAATCTTGAAACTGTTCGTTGATTGAGATCGTGAAGTTAAGTGCCAGATGGTTGATGTAATCCTCGCCTTTAGTCCTAATAAAGTCCTCGGACCTTTGTACTGCGTCCATCAGTATTTTAAATCCATTGTTAAAGTTATTGTTGTCGTAAAGAATGAGCTTATCAATATCCTTCACTTTACGCCTTAATTTTTTCACGATAACATTCAAAGGCACTTCCATTTCAAGATTGTACATATTCATATCAATATATCCAACGTAGTAGCAAACGGCCCGTGGATAATCATACGACCATCTTGTGTTTAGGCGTATAGCCATATCTCTAATTTCTCGACCCAATACACCTATATCATTTGGGCCATATTTCGTGCAAAGCTTATCGACGTATAAGCTGCTGTGGTAAGTCGACAAATTGGCCTCACGCATATTATTGAGACTGCGTTTCTCTTCTTCCAAGAACAGATAAATCTTGGATAAGTCTTTACTGAATACGGGTGTTTTTTCAGCCTCATCGAGGAATATTTCCATACTTAACAAGTTGTTTATATCGTACTTCTTATTCGCTCTCAGCAAGTCAAAGATGGACTCATTTACATGGCATGCCCTAATTGCATTCGACACTGACATCTTTGGCAACGAATCCCTTTCTCCGTTATTCAGCGACATGAAGCGATTGAGATCGATCACGGGGTCCAGCTGCTTGAAGATGTTCTGCGCATGCTCGTCTTTCAATGGAGCACACGCGGTTGAGTATGTTATCAAGCCGATCATCAAGTAGAACAGTCCAACAAGCGTCAGGAACGAGAACACACAAAATATCAGGATAATGGCTCTGGAATAGTGACAAAATAGTGGCGGTTCGGCCAATAACTAGAGATTACTCACACAAGTAGGCATGAGGCAGCCATGCCTTTTGAGAACACTTTAGATGGTCCTGGCATTGTCCGTCTTCGCCCAAAGCTGCCGCATATCAGGGCCGAAGTCAGGATTACTATAATCTACCGGCGAAAGATTTGGTTAGCCGTCGAGTAATTCCACATTGAATACAACAGTTTTATAAAAATTCGACTTACTATAAAGATTAACACGCAAATGACGATGTTAATAGCCCGCCGTTCATCGCCAAACTTTACGTACACGTCTTCGAATGCCCTCGTGGTCCTTAAGGTGTTAAGGTGAATGTCGCTGATCATAGCATCGATCATGTCGCGTACTTGCGTAGCTTCATCCAGCATCATTACCCTGCCTCTGTGAATGCCTCGGAACATGGGGGGAAGCACGAGTCTCAATTGTTTATGGATCATTTCCTTAATTGTGTTGAGGCGGGCCATGGCCCTTAATGGAAGTTGATAATATTCCTCATCAATAATTTCCTTGATTGCTTCGACATAGACTGTAGTATTAGGCATCTAGAAATTACACCGCTTATAATTTCTCGAATAGTGCTTAGCTATAGGGAAAGGATAATACCCAGTCTATGTGTAGGCACGGTGCATTGCCAAAATCCTGGAGGTTTATTTCGTGGTGAAATCTATAGCATCTTGTCAAATGGCACAAAGCATAGCCACAGTAATTCAAAAGTCGTTTCACGCCGCGCAAACCTGAAAAGGCGAAAATCGGAATCAGATCGGATATCAGATGACAAAAAAAAAGTCCCTGGCCTCTAGTTACTGTCTCTTAATTGGCTCGCCAAAAAGCGGAGTTCTTTCTCTAAGGCATCCACTTGTACCATAAGGTTTAATGCTTTCGGCATGTTGACGAAGATGCGCTCCATTTCAGCTAGCGCAGTACTCTCCGAAGTGTCCCCCAGGTCCAGGAATATGTGATTATGTGCGTCTATGGAAACAGATGAAGGGTGGAGTGGGCAAATGCCGTTTGCATTTCATTTACCGAGTCCAACTTACCACTTAGCTGTTCTTCCAGGTGAGCCTCCAGCTCCTGGTAGTTGTACACCATCAAATGGTAGATGTGATCAGAAACATCTTTAAGAAAGCTGCAAGTGTCCTCACTACCACGCCGCATCGTCAACTTGGCGTCCTCGAATCCCCGGTCCAGAAACTTGTTCGCAATAAACGCGACGATTAGGCCAAAGCTACGGGCAATCGAAGGCAAATTATTTTGTCTGCCATTGTATATGACTCGACCTCGACTCAGACTCACATAAGGCCAATGATGAGCAGGGCAAGGCAGACGCTGTAACACATGCGCCCCGGGCGTTTTTTTGACTTTGAATGTTGCTTGCAACGTAAGCAGCAGCAAAAGCAGCAATAGCAGACACTGTGGCATCCGGAGGGTGGGAAAGGATATTCATCAATGCAATGTGGCGGCCCACAAGACTTTGAGGCTTCACTTACCCAATAAACGGAATGACAATGATACAAGCCAGGAGGAATGTCACGACCAGAAGCAGAACCCAGTATTTACCCAACAGTGCAGCCCAATCGTTCTGCATCACCTTGGGGCCGAGTACCAATTTGTTGTTGCTCGTCAACATAACATACCCTGCAGGAGGGGGCGGGGTGGTAGAGACGGCTCAGTGGCGAGGATTGGACTGGCTTGGCTTACCCGGAGGCAGGTCGGACATCAATTTCCGCAAGATTAAGTGCAATATCGAGTAAATGGGATTCAAGGCTTTATGTGTCGAGGTTAGATCCCGGGAATAGTTGGCGTAACCATGATATGCACTATATTCCGTGTAACCCCAGTGCCTCTGTCCAAGTTGCTCGTGAGTCGTACCGTCGCCCATGTAGCCCTCGCGCCAAACGATATCATCTCCTCCTTTTCTATAAGTCCTATTACCACCTTCTCCTCCTTCAGGTTTTTGTCCAGCAGCCTCCTGGACGATAATTGGTATAAGTGAGAGCAACACAAGGATCAACTTCACCGCATGGATGCCTCGGACCGCACGGGGACCGAAGTGACGCTTCCGTCCTTTTCCGGTGGATCTTCTATAGCGTGGTGGTTCCGTCAGAGCCATTACGAGATTGAAACTCTTGCCCCTAATGCAGCGGGAGGTTTCGGTAGAAGATATCTTTCAACTGCAACGAATCCTTATCAGGGCACTCGGGAACTCTGGAACATTAAATACAGGGAGGAGGTCTTCTCAAGTCGTGGATCTGTGTGGTGTGGTATGGATGTTGTAGGTGTACGCGTGTGTGTGCAGCCCAGTGCGAGATGCATGTGTACGTTTTGAGGGGAAAGTTAAGTTTTAACTTGTGTAGTATCTGATGTTTCCAGATAACAGTTAACTCAGAACAGCTGACTGGAATTCAAATATTCCGAATACGGTCACATTGCTCCGCGTTTCGTCGACAAAGCAACCATGTTCCGCTATCGATTGCGATAACAAAATACAATCGAAATCAAATTACTTTTAAATCAAATTAGTCAAATCAAATTCAATCAAATTAAATTTGTTTACAATTACGACCTTGATTTTAGATTTTAGATCTGTAATTATAGAAAGTTTTCTGTTTTAATATTCAAATCAATCACTTTACAGTACTGCACTATATTTTCAATAGTATTTTTGCAACAAAACTGCAATCGTTGTTATCATACCCACCACACACACACACACACACAGACACGATGGGAGTAAACTTGTTCTTATCAGCGCCCACACCAATCCAGAGGCGGTTACTTATTCTCCTTCACGCTCAGTTTTCGACAAACGCTCAACGGAAACGGTTATAATTACTTCTGGGCGACACTTTCGATTGTTAAAGTGCCGAAACAGCCGCGGCGCGCTCGTGCAACCATTAAAATACGAAACGACCGAAAAAAACTACAATAACTTTTGCCAGTGAGTGCAGCAGCGATCGGTCGAGTCGAGTCAAGTCGAGGCATACCCATACCATATACCATACCCAATACCTAAAGCAGCCATACGCGAGAATTCATTGTGCAAATTGCCAAAATATGTAAATCATTTGCCAAATCATGGCACTCTGGCGCAGACAGCCTTATCAGTCGATCGATCTAATCAGCAGCTGATTCTATTTGCTCCCATTACACGCCTGTGATAGCAGATAAATGATATCAGGGGGGCTGCCGCTGCGGTAGCCGATCGTAGGTTTTTGACAATGCGATTTACTATCGCTAAATGCAACAGAAGCTTCCAGCAGACCAATCCTTACCATGCCAAATAGCTGCAAATTGCTTTGGACCTTTATTAACTGGCATTTGAACACACAATACATCGAAGCCTTTGAAGAGAATTTATTGCTCACCCACCCATTATTCGCTTTTACGGCAATAGAAGTGCTGAGTGTCGAGTGTCGGAGTGTATGTAGAAGGCGTTATCAGTCGACTCTGATTATATTCTGTCGATAGCAGCTCAGCTCGGCTTGTTCGCAGTATTCGTCAGCCTGTAACCGCTAAATGGTTATTATTGGCTTATTTGGGGTTTTTTTTTTGGGAAGGTAATCGAGTATCAGGGCTTTTTGTTTAAACTCACAACTCACAACAGCTGAAACAGAGACTGAAACAATTGTCTTTGGCCTGGCCCGCAGACGTATGTATGTATGTTTATGTGTAGTTCCTCGAAGGGAGATAACGAATATGTCGGAGTGCCATTAATAAGTATCGAGAAATGTAATTCATTTGCCTTATAAACGTATCTTCCGCTGGCTGCCACCCGTGACAATAATGTGACAACGAAAATTAGTAATTAGTGCTGCCGTTTTTTGCAGTTTCTGTTTGATTAAAAATCAACAGCAGCAGCAGCAGCACAGGCACTGGCGCTGGCACAGCTTACGCGCACATCAGCAATGATGAAATGTCTGTCCGTGTATCTACTATTCGCCATTAAATGGCCCTGGGGTCGTGATAAGAATACGCTAAAGCCCGGAGGCCTTTCGTTAATCGCATTTATTTGAATCCATTATCGATCGAGTCATTTATTTTTGTTTAATTTCAATACCCGTACGTACGTACGTACATTGGTTGAACAACCAGGCAGATCACTTATCAGGGATCCGATCCTGTATCTGCTGGCCACTTGGCGCTCCTCTCAAGTGCCTTGATAATACTTTCAGCCATTCCCAATCTGCGCCTGACATTGGTCACGCTTCGTGTTCCCCATCCCCCACTTCAGAGACCAGCCTTCTTGGGGAATGAATCCCAGATATGTCTCTACTTTGACCCCGTCTGAATGTTGACATTTGTTCACTTCATTGCCAGATTCAGCGTCCAAAAATCCACAAATCTTTGATAAATCACACCTTTCCTCCGCCCGCCTCCCCACCAATTGCACGCACATTGAACCCTCAATTATTTGTTATTATAAATAACAGAATGAACACACAGGCTAATGTTTGTATGGAAGCTGGTCGAGGTTAATGATTTATGGAAATCCCCCGTGCAACCACCTAACCGGTTGTGCGTACCCCTCGTCGACTGAACTGCCAAATAAAGATATTTTACTTAATAATTCACAATTAATAAGCGTTGGAAAAAACTTCCACAGCATCCGGTAGCGATACAATGTGGCCCTAAGATGGACAGCAATTACTGGAAGCCAGCGCTCAAGATCTACGGACTCATCCTGCTGCTGCTGTCCGCATGGGCCCAGGCGCAGACGGATCTGCCGAGTTCCGCCTTCGACGATCAGGAGTTGTCCGACAGTGAGTGTTCTAGGTTCAGGTTTAAGGTTTATCTCCTCCTCTAACAATTGCAATTCGGTGTGACTCGTTCCAGAGGTGGAAATCAATGTGGTATCGACGGCCTATACGCTCAGCTTCAGCATCGCTGGGGGGGACACGGACTATGCCATCGAGGGCATCACCTGCCGCAACGGGAGCGGGAAGGAGACCAAGGCGAACGAGGCCAATGTGTGGTAAGGCTCTGCTCAAGGAGCAGAATTCGAGCCGATGTCTGTCATGTTTTTGTGCCTTGCAGCGAGAATCTCGATCCCTGCACCTTCTACACGTGTGTGGTCGCGCTGCGGGCCACCGACACCAAGCCGCCGACCCCTGACCAGACGATCTACGCCTACACCGAGTACAAAGGTGAGCGAGCCCAGCCTGCTCCTGCTTCAGACATGTCCTAATCCACGTGCAACCATCGTTTCAGAGCCCAGGACGGATGTGACCGACGTGCTGGCCACCGCCAACACCATCAAAATCAGCTGGGAGACGAGCGACCGCGCCTGTGTCGAGGCCTTCCAAATCACCGCCAAGGCTGCCGAGTACTCCTACACGACGCAGCAGCTGAACGAGAAGAGCACCTACACTTTCAGGGACGACGTGCATGCCTGCCTGACCCACACCTTGACCCTGGAGACGCGCAACAATGCCAGTGTCGTGGTGGACACGGACACGAACGAGGTGGAGACGCTGTACTCGGAGCCGGGCGACCTCTCCATGAACATCACGAACCTGGCCAACGGCATCACGGTCATCAGGTGGGCCGATCCCACCGAAAAGCACTGCATCTCCAACTACATTTTCAAGTGGAAGCGAGACGACTGCGAGCAGGAGGCGGAGCAGCAGACAACCACGGATCTGCCCAGCACCATGACCACTCTCAATACGGACTATGACATGGAGACAAGCGACCCGGAGCCAGAGCCGGAGCCGGAACCGGAACCGGATCCAGCAGAGCCACCCGACAGTGGGAACAGGGGTAAGTGGATGTTGGTGGGGTGTAACGACTTTCTTATTGGACAATCCTCTCGATCGATCCCCAGTTGAGTGCGAGTGGAGCGACAGTTCCGCGGACTCCAAGCTGAGGGAGTACCTGTTGACCGATCTGCAGGGATGCGAGCCGCATACCTTCGAGATCTACATCAACCAGAACGACACCTCCAAGGCATCCCAGCAGTTTGAGTCCGCCGAAAAGAGTAAGTAGCCGCCAGCTAGCCAGCTAGCCAGTGGCAGAAGCCTCCTCTCACTCTCTTATTCGCATCCAGTGGCCAGCGCTGTCTTCGAGCCCGTTTACAGCATGAATGCGACGGAACTGCACTGGATGTGGTCCGAGCCCCACGATCATCCCAAGTGTGTGGCCAACTACAGTGTGCAGCTGACGGGACCCATGCAGCGACTCAGCGAGACACTTGAGGTGCGCACTGCGGACAGGGTGGCAGTCTTCGAGAACCTGGATCCGTGTGGCGTCTATGTGGTGGAAATCGTGCCGGTGATGCTAAACGGTAGCTCCGGTGCCATGTACCAGGCCGAGACGACCGTCAGCGAAGATCGTAAGTCGACGATTGCGATAGCCAAAGCCTGGGGATTAACCCTTCTCGGTTAGAGCCCTCGCAGATCCTGGAGCCCGTCGTCCTGCCCGGCTCCTACTCTCTGGAGATTAGCTGGCTGACCCCCGCATATGCGGACTTGTGCATCGACGGCTACCGCCTCTCCGGCTGGATGGAGGACAACAAAGAGGTGCTCAGTGCGAGCACCAAGAACACATCCGTGACCTTCAACGATGGCCTGCTGGCCTGCCAGGCGTACACCATACAGATCATACCCTACACCCGGGAGAACCTGGACGGCGATCTGCGCCAAGTGGAGGTGGAGACAAGGGCGGCCGTCGTGAACTCTGATAGGGTGAGAGATGGGAGGTGTGACTGCGTCTCTGACTGTCCCTGATTTGCCTCCTTTCAATCCGCACAGATCACGCTGCAGATGGGCACCAACGGAGCCGGCTCGCACAGCCTCACACTGATAGCCAACAACCAGGACTACAACAACACCTGCCAGACGATCTTCGCCTTCTTCAACTGCAGCACCACGTCCCAGGTGCGCCACACCTATGCGGAGCGGTACGTGGAGGGGTACACAAAGACAGGTACGAGTCCGAGCACCAGTACGAGTCCATCTGACCTCATTCGCATCGTCCCAACAGGCTTCCAGGCGCAGATCAGCCCACTCTCGCCGAACACCGCCTACTTTTGCGACGTGATGCTGTACAATGTGGCAGGATCCTCGAAACTTCGGCGCACCCTGGAGAACACGCAGACGCAGAAGTACTGTGAGTGATGCAGAGCCTCACATCTCCCTCTTCTGACAAGTAAATCGATTCGGTTGCAGTTCCCGAACAGCCCGAGAACGTGACCTTCGAGCAGAGCAGCGTGCAGAGCCTGCAGTTCACGTGGAAACCGCCCACCTATCTGAATGGCCCCATCAAGTACTACCAGACCTTCCTGATGCGGCACAAGCCCGACTACGATGTGCCCGAGGACTGTGCCGAAATCAGCGAGAATCCAAAGTCGGAGGCCAAGGGCGATCTGAGTGTCAACTTCACCGAACTGGCGCCGGGCGTTCGCTACATGATGCAGGTGGCTGCCCAGAATGATTTCGGCATGGGAGAGTATACCGCGCCGATTATTGGGATCACGCTGCCCACGGGTGAGTCACCGCCGCCTCCCTCCTCCCATCCACGTGGGAATCTAATGACAGCGGCCCCCCTCCCTTTCTTTGGCAGTCTCTGAGAGGGTCACCAAACTGACCGTCAATCCCATGGGTCCGTCGCTGGAGCCTGCAGACAGCTACAACGCCAATGCGACCATCACCTGGACGTCGCCCTGCAAGTCCAACGGGAGGATCGAGGCGTTCATCCTTGACTTCACTGGGGAGCGGGCCGCACACGAGAGAGTCGAGTTCCAGCGCATCGTGGAGCCGAACAGGACGGACCGCAAGGGACGCATGTCCTGGACGGAGACGGAAATGAAGCCGGAATACGACTACACAGTGAATGTGGCCGTGAAGAACGTGGATGTGGACACCCTCAGCGACAGCGTAGTGTCCCAGTGGCAGTCTCCAGCTGGTCGTAAGCATAGCTCGAGGCATTCTCCTCTCCCTTCCTCTCTGGTCGCTTCAACGGCTCACCTCTTATCTCTCCAGTTCCGGCTCGCCTGGGCAATGAAGTTGTGGGCCAAATGCGGGTCAGCCCGAACGAGACAAGTCACCCAACGCGATCGGCCATCGTGCGCCTGCCTGCGGATATCCAGAGCTCCGAGTCGGGCAACATCACCTACATCGCCTTGCTGCTCTCGCAGAAGAGCTGTGCCGAAACGCCGGAGCTGGGCTCCGCCCTGGTAAACGCCGCCTCGGCATGGCCAGACGTGCAGTCCTATGAGACGGCAGGCGGAGACGGCATGACGGGCTGCGTCTATCAGTACCAGACGACGGAAGAACGCTGGAACCCGGACACAGTCGCCAGGGAAAGGGGCTCTGGCAACGAAATCGTCTTCACCATCGGCGAGGACAAGTGCCCGAATGGCAAGCGCTACTGCAATGGGCCGCTCATGGCGGACACGCAGTACCACATGGTGGTGCGACTGTTCACCAAGTCGGGCTACCGCGACGCCGCTCTGCTGGAGTTCAAGACGGATGCGGCCATCAAGGTGACACTGATCCTGATCAGCGTCTGCTCCTGCCTGCTGCTGGCCTTTGTGCTGGGACTCGCTGTGCTGTGGGTGCGCAAGCGTTTAGCGTGGTAGGTGACAGCCGCCCAGAACCCAGACAAAGTGATTCTGATTCGTTTTTGTATGTCCTCCGTTCGGCACAGGCATCGCGACTCTGGCCAGGGCATTGAGGACCCCTTTGGCAATGTGATAGCCAAGAACTTTGCCATTTTCTACGCAGAGGTGGCCAAGCCGGAGAAGCTGGCCCGCGAGTTCAAGGAGATAACCGTCGTGGCCCTGGAGCTGAGCTACTCGGCCTCCGAGCTGGGCTGCCACAAGAATCGCTATGCGGACATATATCCTTGTGAGTGGGTTGCGCGCACTCCCTTGGGGGCCTAAAATCGAATTTGATTTCCCTTCCACAGACGACAAGAACCGCGTTATCCTGGACATAGATGCGGAGGGATCGGACTATATCAATGCCTCATTCATAGACGTAAGTGCCACCACATTTGCTGTCCCCTCATCCTCACCCCCACTGCCTCCATTTGGTAGGGACACACCCGCAAGAAGGAGTACATTGCCACCCAGGGACCAAAGCCGGAGAGCCTCATGGACTTTTGGCGCATGATTCTCCAACACAATGTGCGAGTCATTGTCCAGGTGACCCAACTGCGCGAGGGCAATACGGTGAGCTCTATCTAGCACGCTGCTCAGGTCGAATTTAAGCTAAAAGCGAATCCCACGGCAGATAAAGTGCCACGAGTACTTCCCGTACAACATGCGCGGACTGACGGTGACCGTCAAGTCCAAGGAGAACTTTGAGCTCTACGATCGGACCGAGCTATCGGTGGTGCACGACAAGTACGGTCTGAAGGAGAAGGTTGTTCACTTCTACTTTAAGAAGTGGCCCGATCACGGCTGCCCCGAGGATCCCATGCACCTCATCGCCTTCGTAAAGAAGGTCAAGTCAGAGCGGCGGCCCAGCTACTCACCCATCGTCGTCCATTGCAGCGCGGGCGTGGGCAGGACCGGGACCTTCATTGGACTCGACTTGATTATGCAGCGCTTGAAGAGCGAGTCGAAAATCAATATATTTGAAACGGTCAAGAAGCTGCGCTTCCAGGTAGACGAATCCGATCCAGGCCGCGCGATGCGAGACGTTTTTTCTCATTGGCTTTCTGTTTCAGCGCATGAAAATGGTGCAGACGCAGCAGCAGTACACATTCCTCTATGCCTGCACCTACGAGCTGGTGAAGCACAAGATTCCGCGGGCCGCACTCAAGCTAGAGGGGCGCCCGAAGCCTGCCGCGGCGGCCAAAAAGGTGAGCTTCCCCGAGGTGGCTGCTGGCTATGTAGTTCCCTTTGCAGCGGGCGCAGATCCAGAGAGCGGTGTACCCACCTTGCAGCTACCCGCTCGTTTCTCTGGCCAGCAGAGGAACAGCGACGACAGCACCACGAACAGCAGCAGCATTATGTGACCTCAAAGTGATCGTCGTTTGTGTATTTATTGTAATTGTATTAAACAAGTATAACTTAGCAGCAATAGTAGCCAAAGAAATGTGTCTAAAGCAAAAACCACTGCATGTAAAATGATAATAAATGGAAAATATACAAATTTTGTAAATTCGAATTTATATCAAACAGTTGGCGGCAAAGGAAGAGCGAGACAACAGTATTGTCACATCATTGTACACTGTGGACGTTTTGCAGCACTGTCTCTTGGCAGAAACAGCTGATTGCCTTCAAAATATAAAATTAAACATTTTTATTTACAAGCGTAGCGTCGTTTCCAATTCTACAAAATGTCTGAGCGAAAAGTTCTTAATGTAAGTCCAAAAAATATGTACGGAACGGTGCTAAGATCACGACTAATTCCAATGCATTACAGAAATACTATCCTCCGGACTTCGATCCGTCGAAGATTCCACGGATGAAATTGGCCAAAAATCGGCAATACACCTCCGACTGATGGCGCCGTTCAATATGCGATGCGTGACCTGCGGCGAGTACATCTAAAAGGGGAAGAAGTTCAATGCGCGCAAGGAGGATGTGGAGAACGAGACGTACCTGGGCATACGCATCTACAGGTTCTACATCAAGTGCACCCGATGTCAGCAGGAGATCTCATTCAAAACGGATCCGCAGAACACAGACTACGAGATCGAGGCGGGAGCCACGCGCAATTTCATGGCCCTAAAGCTGGCCGAGGAGCAGGCCCGGCGCGAACAGCAAGAGGAACGCGAGGAGGAGGCGAATAATCCCATGAAAATGCTCGAGAATGGCACCGAGCAATCGCGGAATGAAATTGAAATGCTGGAGAGTCTCGAGGAGTTGCGCGACCTGAACAGACGCCAGCAGACGGTGGACTACACAAAAATGCTGCAGCAATATAATACGGGGGAAACGGAGAGAGAACGCTTAGAGCGCGAGGAGCGTGAGGATGAGGAGTTTATCAAGTGAGTGCTGCACTTAATCTTTCTCAAGCAGACTATGCATATATGTATCGCATTCCCATTCCAGATCTGTCAACTTTAAAAGCAAGCCCGAGGGTGGCAGCCGGATAGTAGCCGAAGAAATCATTGAAGACGTCAAAGAGGAGGCTGCCGACTCCTTGCCAGCTCCCCCTCCGGCTAAATTGGCCAAACCCATTGGCTCTCTTCCAGTGGCCCCCACCACAAGCAAAGTATCGGTCGCTCAGCCCTTGGATAAACGTAAAACACCCTTGGTGCTGGTCAAGCCAAAGGCAGCAGCCACATCAACGGATATTCCAAAAGCAGCTGCAGCTCCAGCCCCAAAGACCCCAACTCCAGCAGCGGGTCTATCCCTTCTAGCCGCCTACAGCGATAGCTCAGAGGAGGACTCCACCTGACACATCATTTTACTGTTCATTTTTTTTGTACAATCCAACTACCAACTACAAATGCTTGCGAAGATCCATGCTCAGCCTCCGCCCTTGTGTCAGTAAAAACTCGTAGAATGTATATAGTATTGTATGTATGTTTTATATACTTTGAATAATGCATCATTTAATTAATCCAATTCAATTTCATCCAAATTTAAATCAATGATTTCGTCAAGGCCAGTCCATTAGGCAAATAAATTTCAATTTCAAACAAATAGTACGAGTGATTATCCATTATCAAAATATCCATCAATGGTACACACTATAATCATCCGCCCATCCCACTCAGCTGAAGCCCATTTCGTGGGTTAACCGTGCAGTGTGGGGTGTGTGTGTGTTGTGGGCATACAGAACTTACAGAACTACTTGTGGTTTAGTTAGAGCTAAAAACTATGTATGTGGTATATACAGAGTCGTTTATTGTTGTGTTGGGTGTGTGCTATGTTACGCTTAAAACTCGGGCAATCGAAATAAAAAATAATATCACAAGCGAAACAAAAATTATAAAATACACGATGGGTATGTCCTAGGCATACGTCCTAGCCTGTCTATACAGATGATGATTATCAAATGGATTGGATATATTGATTTCAGAAATGGTCCCTTTAACATTTTCTGAATTTATTGATAGTTAAACAATTTAGCCCATTTACCATTAATTAAATTAACTTTGAAGTTCATAATCTGAAGTGCATATTTTCGTCAGTTTTTATTATTATCATCCAAACGAAGTGAAGCCGTTAATGTTTGAAATTCAAAAATGATTGCTTGTCCAATAAGTTCTGCCTATCGCACAAAAATACCGATAATTTCGTAAATATATGTTATAAATATATTATCAACAAGACAATATATATCGATATATTGATAGCGAAGATAGCGGAGCCTTTAAAAATGATGCAAAATAGAAATTTGTCAACTATTAGCAACTGCTTTCCGCTAGTTTGCAGGGTAAGTAAGTAGATTGAGAATAGCTCGTGGGAATCTAACAGCTGTTATTACCACATAGGTCATACAAACACAATGCGGAATTCTGCAGCAGGGACCTGTGGCCAGGTACGAGCTGGTCCAACTTCTGACACAATTGAATGCCAAAGAAAGGGTGAGATAGCTAGCGCAATATCGTTGCATGTAAATACAAAAGTTACCTTCTAGCTATTGGCGTCCAAGTTCTATTGCCAGCTACCAGCGAATGTTGGCAGCTTTCGGGTTCTACTCCAACTACAGCAATTGCGGATCCTCACCGCCACGGAGTACATATTAAGGTACGGCCCAATATCAATGTAATGATCAATATGAGACAATGACACTTTCCCTGATACCAGCAAGGAACACTCAGAGCAGCTCCAGGTGGATTTAATAATATTTCTGGAAACTGAGTACGAGCTCCTGGCAAATCTCTTTTTATCTGTGGCGTATGGTTGGTTCAGCTAAAATAAAAAATTGTTTCCGCATCTTATGCGCCTCTATTTTGTTGGCAGATGCAGAGTCTGGAATGAAGCTGGCGGCTATACTGACAAACGCCTTGGGCAATCTCTTTGCTGGACTCGTGGCCGATCCGAAGATAAGCGACCTAAGCTATGCCGAGCCGCTGTCCAGAGCGCTGCCAGGTAAGAGGATCTCACCCGAAAAAGCTTCCAAATAATGCGCAGATGCTTGCAGCCGACGCCATGGGCATGTGCATGAAAATTCATTTGGGCACCCTGCTGGAACTGCACCATTCTGCAAACACCAATGAGGCATTTGCCAGCTTTAGCGCCTGGATCAATGAGGGTGTGGACGAACTAACCTTTGTCAAGCATCTCTGTGAAAAGGTTTCAACTGTCCGATGAGGCATAGGTGCTGAGACTAACTGAAACATCTTTCAGCTCTTTGCCCGCCAACACCAGGAAGCCCTTCAAGTGCTGTTCAAACAGTCAAACGCGGAAAACTTTACGAATTGGAAGTTCTACCTCATCTTGGTGCAGTCCATAGCCAGCACCTGCACTGCGGAAACAACTGCATTTATTAAAAGTATTCACTGCACCAATTTGTATGCCCAATACCCATGGATAATTATGCATGTCCAACTTTTATCATAGAATACCTCAAGAGCCGAGTACTGCACATGGCCACAAGTGGTTGCCTGGCTTCTCTTTTGCATTTGCTGCTGACGGCGCGTGCCACGTCAGCCTGCACAATGGACATACACAGCAATCTCGATAACTACGCCAAGTGGTACAAGCAGAACATTGGTGAAATGTCCTACCTCCTGCGACCAGATCATTTCCAGGTTGCCCTGGGTCTTCTGGAAGAGTCGTTGCACTTTGAAAGCGAGCTGCAGTACCTGGAGGTAAGCTTTTATGTACCCTGCCATAAATGTGCCGAGTTCTAATTGTGTGTTTTCATTAAAGATCCATGCAGCGATTGCTCTTTCACCTGGGGGCCGCATTGTTCAGGCGTACAAAACCAAATGTCGATCATATTTGTCTCAGTTAAAAAAAGGAGAAAAGGCGCATGCTTGATGTCTTTTTGGAGTTCAAAGTTCAGCCAGAGTAATTTATTAAAACACTAGCAGCTGTACAAAAAGTTCATGGTTTTTAAATACCAAGTATATGAGATATTGAGTTGAGTTGTAGAGACTACCAAAAGGAGTAAATTAACAGCTCAACAATTGTGTCTTTCTTGGCTGATTTTCTTTGAACAAGATTTAGATATTGCTTTTACTGAAAAGCTTTTAGTCAGTGCTCGTACATCCGTCGACAAATGCATACACGACAATGACATGACATCGACATGCGGCATTAATGTAGAAAGCACGTAGAATTGCCCCCTTGGCCTTTAACGTGCAACACATAGGAGATATTTATTTGGGTAGTGTAATAATATTGAAAAATATTAATATAACTGATTCGTATTGACTGATCGATGGTAAACTTTCGGCTTATTTTTAATAGGTTCGCAGATGGACGAATATAAATACTTTTTATACCCGTACTCAAAAAAGAGTTAAGGGGTATATGGGCAGTTCCTATCTGGCGTTACGTTACATTCGTACGACAAAATGTTGAAAAAAATAGTCAAAAAGCTTAAATTTGGAAAAAAGATTATCCTCGTTGAATATAATTTGGTTAGACCTACATTCACCAGAAAAGTGGAAATAATCGAGCGTACAGTTTTAAAGATATAAGCCAAAGTATGACCTAAAAGTGCGTTACATAAAACAGAAGTGGTTTTCGAGGTTGGGGTACAAAATAGCAAAACTCTGCGAATTGGATAGAGCTATTTGTATAAAATTTTTTGTGGTAATAAATGAAATATTGAGAGTTAATTTTCAAATTCATTATATGTAAAAACTTTTCCTCTTTTTTTGTTAAAAATCCGCGGAGGCATCTGGCGAACGTTACTGGCGTGACGTTACCGAATTCCGCGATTATAAAAGCCTAAAAATATACTGTTAGCCGAGGTTGGACCAACGTTCTGATAATGGTTTTAGGTAGTTTAATATGTTAGAAAGACTTTAAGGAGAAACTTTTATTAAGAATCATCTTCCTTCTAGGAGATAATAGTAAAAGAAAACATGTCTATAAAAATACCAGAAAATACCAAAAACGTGAACTTTTGCTAATTTTCATAGGTTTTAGGATGAAAGTTAATGAAATTATATGTCAATAAAGTAAATTAGTTACCTTTTAATAAATTTAGAAAAAAATATCCGGAAAAAATTATATGGAAATCGGTTTTTATTGACTTTTTATGATTTTTGGCCTGGTGGACCTTTTGGCGGAACTGCCCATATTAGATTTGTGGTAAAAGTGGATGTGTGTAACGCAGAGAAGGAAACGTTTCCGACCCCATAAAGTATATATATTCTTGATCAGCATCAATAGCCGAGTCGATATAGCCATGTCTGTCTGCTGTCTGTCTGTCTGTCTGTCTGTCTGTCTGTCTCGATGGCGCCAGATCAGAGACTATAAGAGCTAGGGCAACCAAATTTGGTTTCCAGACTCATGTGATATCCCACTGCTACAAGTGTATTTCAAAATTTCGCCCCGCCCCCTTCCGCCGCCACAAAGAACGAAAATCTGTGGCAGGCACAATTTTAAAGATACGATAAAACTAAACTAACGCAGTATCGTAGAGAATGACCATATCTACCAGATTGCCGAATCTGAATCAGATCGGATCATAATTATAGCCAGAATGAAGAAATTCATTTTCAGTTGCTTCCCCTTCTCCCTCCGGCAAACGACAACACAACTCATTTTCCTTCTCGCTCGCACACTCTGCCGCGTTCAGTGAGCGAGCAACCCCTAGCGGAGGAGATGTAGAATATGAATGGAACATGTACAATCTACATGTTAGATGTATAATAGACATTTTATATGTAGATGTAGATAGCATATGTAGCAAAAAAATGTAAAATGTAAAATTTTTTTTTTTTTCTAAAATTCTAAAAAATCATAAGCTCAAAAGTGTATGTATATACTGACTGAGTACGGGTATAAGTAGAGTCGTGTCCCCAGAAACGACTCACACGTTCCTTCTCGTTTGTCTCGTTACGAGTACCGGCTAGGGATCAGTTGAGCATTTTGATTCCCAATATGCCTTTCTTTTTAGAGCATTTAATGTTTATATTTTAGAACAAACCAAAGACCAATAATTCCACACTTAAATTGTCCAAATAACTTAATTCTAAAGTTGTCTTAACGCTACAATTATGATAACGAGGCAGCGGCAAAGTTTGCTTTTGTTTTTGGGATACAAAATTTAAATATCAAATCAATGCGACCTTTGGCACAGTGCACATTCATGCCATTGCTTTGGGGAAATCACTCGTTGGCCATTTGCTTGTCATTCATTATGCAAAACCAATGGCCCAATCCTCTCGACAATCCGCTATTAAACAGTTGACGAAGCCGTCAACGCAATCTGCTGGAAATTTGAATGCAAACACCCAACTCCCACCCCCACCCACATATTGTGCGTTTGTCGGCATGAATGGATTCTGGATCCGAAATCCATGCAAAATTCACATTTGCATTATTCAAAATGGCACGCCCATGCAAAAAAGTTTTAACTTATTAAACTCACAGCTCTGCTGCTGCTGCCCGTGGGCACCCACTCCGCCCACAATCCATCCAGACCATATGGAAAATGTTGAAAAGTAAATAAAAATTCGGCCATCGACTGGAGGAGAAAAAAGAGCGCATGTGAAACGTGTTTAAACTGCCGTGCAGGACATGGCAGTCCGTCGTTGTCCCTGACGGTTGCAACAGAGTTGCATGCTTTTTTATGGGGGTAGACAAGGGACAAGAGTCGGAGAAGCAACTGGATGCCAAGGCCAAGGGATAGATGCTGCTATCGCTGCGGCTAACAGCTCATTGCACCGCTAGCAGGGACAAGGTCAGCCCTCAACTCTTGACCGGCATTGGAATTGGGTTACGCTGCTGCCGAGCAGGAGCGCCTGAGGCGGTTCAGCAAATCGTGTGCTGACTGCATCATGTTTTAACAATGTTTTGGCATTTTATCCAACGTTCTTTAACCGCCTTCTGGCATCAAGGCCACATTCTGCTCGACCACGGACTCTGACACTGGCATCCATCCCAGGAAAAAGCTCCACTCCCTCGTTGCACCTGTCTCTTGGCACTACCCCCTCCCCTAGACGGGCATTCAGACAGTCAGACAGTCAGGCAGAATTTCAATTTCTTTGACACATTTTGTTGAAAATGCTCAACAAGTGCGTTGGGTCCTGCGACGATGCGGGAAGTGAGCGAAGATAAACCTGCCCCTGCCCCTGCCCTGGCTCCCCTGCCAGCTATCAGACAAGCTTTGACTTTTATATCCCTCTGCCCTCCACCCCCCACGGACGCAGCCAGCACCCCATCTGTAGTCCGTCGTCTGTTTACTTTTGTGGGGCGGGGAAAACTTTAGCAAATTGCCAGTTTTGGCAACAAACTCCCACCCGTACTGGGCTTACATTTAGGAGATTATTTTGTCGAGGTCCTTTCACATTTCGAATTTAATGCTCGACGTACCTTTATTTTTTCCTCGCGTCTGGCGGTTCACTTTGGATGGCCATATCGGTCAGGAGGGGGTCGGCGGAGGGTCGTCGCAGTAGCTGCTGTTTCTAGGTTACAATCGAAATTCCGCTGTAATTTGCATGTCGCGAATGCCATTCCGCTTACTCCTTATCCCTGCTGCCCTTTGCTCCGTGCCGTATTCCTCTTTACGCGTTTTCTCTTCGTTTTGGGTCGTTTCCCTATGACTTTTTGCGGACTGCCGTCTGCTGCTTAAGAATAAACATTGTCCTGACAACTTCCTGTTTCCTTTTCCACGCAAATTTGCAAGCCGCCCCGCCCCGCCTCGCCACGCTCCGCGAGCATCCAAAGGCAAGCAAACAAACACAAAATGGAAGCAGCAAGCGGACAACCTTTTCTCATTTCCTTTGTAAATTGTGCACACAAGCACACACACACACACACACACACCCTCACTCGTATCCATATGGCTGTGTGTGTGTGTGGCTCAAGCAAAGGTGTATCAAATGGAAGGTAAGGCAGTTGTGATGTGATTTATCTTCGCATTTGCATGCCACACTTTGGAGAGTGCTCTGCTCTCCTTTCCCACCTACGAGTGGATGCACTGGCACCTTTCTGTGTGTGTTACCTTACCTTCTATATACCTTGCACGCCTACCCACCCACCCACACAGAGAGAGAGAAGGCTGGCGCTCACTTGTTGCTGCCATCGCAAAAAGCAATTTCGTGGCAATGCGATGAATTGACAGCGGCATCGGAAGGTGCCCCGGGGTCTGATTGCCTGCCCTGACTCCGCCTTCGTCTGCCTTCTCTCCTCTACTTCCCCGACTGGTGACCGTTTGATGCTGATAGCCTACACACACAAACACGCACACACCGACAGGGGGGCACACCTGTAGCCGTAGACAAGTGTGCCCTGCCTGGCCCCCTTCTTTTGAAGTGCCTTGCCTGGCCTGGTCCGACCATTACGCTGGATGGCCCTGGAAGTGTGCACAAGGATGGCCACCGCTATGTACACATTGCCGCCTGCTGCCAATCTCATTTGGGACCCATTCCGGGCATCACAAGCAGGCCCCGGCCCTCCTCTTTGGAGTACAGGGTATGTACACAGTCCTCTAACTGCTGTTAGAGGTACCCCTACCCTACCCTACCCTACCCCTCTGCAAATAATCACACTTCAAAGGCAATAAATCGTTATTTAAATTTCAGTTTTCACATTGCTTAAAGTTTCAGTTGGCTCGGCTCGTGGATGACGGCGGGACACGCGGCTAAGGAACGAAAAATACGGGTACAAATTTGGCTTATTTGGTTATGAATCCCCGGAGAGTGTTGGCTGCCAGCGCGAATATTTCTTCATCTGTGATGCCTGAGAATAACTGAGAATTTGTTTGTGTCAGCGGAGAGGATTGTTTGCGTTTGCGTTTCTTTTTTTATTTTTATTTTTGTTTAGAATGGTTTAGAATGGCTAACACACACACACACATACAACCCCTGAAGAACACGTGGAGAAGAGGCGCATGAAAATGGCTTTCGCTCTATAAAATTGTGTGTGTGTGTGTGTGTGTGTATTGGTGTGCTTTTCCATCCCTTTTTATGCGTTTTTCTGAAATAGCTCGTCAACGCGTTGGTTGCCTTCTCTCTGAACGACCTGCAGGTAATCCGCTTGGAATGGCCGAAGGACAACAGCCGTTATCCCATATCCCCATATGTCATATTCGAAATGGGTTTCATTTCCATTCCCACCTCCTGGCAGTGCAATTAGATGGAAGAACTTGGGCGAGACTTATGCACATCAAGTATCCAAGTGCTTTCTACGCAGAGATGTGTGATAGCAATCCCCATTATAATTACCGTAAGCACCTATCCTGCCATCGGATTAATCTCTGCAGTCCATCCAGGTTGTAATCCTCTGAAGACTTAAGTCGATTTGTGTCGCTTCTCCTGCAACTCGATTACGATGATGAAATGCCACCAGGCGAGGGAGGCCTTGGCTTCCACCCTCAATGTCTTTTTCCTCCCGATCCCAATCCCAATCCCTGTCCCAATGCCAATGCCAAGGACTCTGCTTATGTTTTCATAAATATTTAAGATTGTTGGCTGGCATGACGCTGATACCGACGATGAGGATGAGGATGGGGGAGGGGCCAGCTCTGGGCGGGCTTATTCATTTACGTTTGTTTATTGAACTTAAATTAGTTTGATTTTGCCTCTGATGCCTCAGTCCTTTCCAGCGCATCCTTTTCTGCCATTCCTCCCCTCTGTTTGTCCCTCCCGCAGGCAACCGTACAATCTCAAGTCTGAGGCCTTAATGCCATGCCTGAGAAGAGCTCAACGGAGACAGAGAGACAGGGCGAACAAAAAGGAACAATCTTGGTATTCAGATAGATGGGTGGGTGTAGGCAGTGCCTGGCACCCCTCCCTGGTGCCCTGAGCAAAGTAAAATAAGCTCATTAAAATTATGAGCCTCAGCAGGTGACGGGGTCAGGGCGGAAAACTTTCTCTGAGTGTGATTCTGAGGCCGCCCCGTTGCCGTTGCCGCCCATCGCGTTATTCGGGACTGAGCCAAATCCGATGAGTTGCCATGCCAGGCTCCTGCCACGCTTTCCACCCTTCCCTTCTCCCCTGCCCATCAATCAGAGCCGGATTGTCAACTTTTCAGTCTCATCTCTCGACTCCGCCGTAAGTTAATTACGGACTTTCAGCGCCTGATTGATTTCCGGGCGCGGGTGCCACTGCAGAGCGAAACAGTTGGCAAAAGACGCGAGACCAGAGCACCAATAAGGATGATAAATCCTGACCAGCCTTCCTCCTGTCTGTTTCCAGAGCCAAGCGAGCAGAGCAATCCAATGAGTGGCTCGTGTCACGGTCCCATCGCCAGCGCTGTGTCTGATGCAGTGGAGCGTGAAATCCAGCCAAGTTTTGGCTGTGATTGACAACAAGCACTTAACACATTTCGACTCAGCCTTGGCAGCTCCCAGCAGCCTCGAAGCCCCGCAGCCTCGCAGCCTCGCAGCCCCGCAGCCATTGCCCCTAATGAACCGCAAGTGCGCAACAGCTGAGCAGCAGCCGCATGAAAGGAGCGGATTCAAACAGAGTCCTGGATCCCCCCCAGTCACATGCAGCAGCACACAAAAAAGAAACCCCAAATCAGACGAGAGAGAGAGAGAAACACAGAGTTTTTTAGCCAGTTACAGAGCATAGTTGTCCTTTATTTATCTGGATGGTAGACTTAAGAGGGAAGAGGTGGGGGGAGAGTTAAACCAAAAACACACCAAAACAAGAAATCCGATTTTATCCGCTTGTACTCTAATTAATTTGCTTTTTCTGCCGCCTCATCTCATTGACAAGCACAAAGGATTCCATTCCGCTCTCCTTTCCTTCTCCTACTCTTGCAATGCAATAATGTGCACACGACTGTCTCTGGAATAAACTCTAAGGGGGGGGAGGGACTCCATCATCTACTCCTTAGCTTTGGAAAAATATATATAAATATACATCGATCGATCTACTATTTCGCTACTTTTGGTTATTTGTACAGTTATGCTTTAAGCCATTTTGCAGGTGTGTAGCAGCGTACAGTTACATATGTACATAACTCTGCAGTAAAATTCCATTTAGAAACAATTGATCTTATTTTGGTATTTGTTTGGTTTTGTTTTTTTTTTTTTTGCTTTTGTTTTTTGCTTTTGTTTTTGCTTCAATTAGTTTTACACAATAAATTCGGTGGGCATTTAGCTAGCTTTGATTCGAATACTTTCCTCCCCACATTGGATAAACAAATCAAATTAAAGCCTCGACCTTGGCACCACCCGCGGCGTATGCGCGATACAGATTGCCCCTGATGTCAGGTGGGTGGGAATGAGGGAGGGGGGAGGAGGAAAGTTCTCTGTGCAAAAAATTCAAAACTTTTACGAGACAAGTTTTTTTTTCGTTTTGATTTTATGGTTTTTGCGTAAATGTTAAAAATGATAAAGTGCACTCGACATGGGCATGGGAAGCATGGCTGGAAGGAGTGAATGGGGAAGCATGGAAAAGCGGGCCTGAACACAAATATGAGTGGTTTTTGGGTTGTCGAGTGTGTTTCCCGGCTCCTGTTCCTGCCCTGACCTAATTTACCAGCGCAATTTTCCCGCTCTCCCTAATGTGTAAGTTTGCATATGAAAATAGTTAAGAGTTTAGTTAGGTTTTAGTTTGATTTGTTTTGCTTGTTTTTTTTTTTTTTTTTCGCATTTTGTAAAGGTATTTTTCAAATATAAGCGTATGAGTTTAGAAGAGTTAGAAGTGTTCTCCAATTACATTCATAAATACATATGTATACATACACATGTATGCATGTATGTATGTTTATGTATACACGTATACGAGCTAGATGCTTTGATTAAATTGTATTTGCTCTTAGGCTTAGACTTATATTTTATTTTATTCTATTATATATTATAGTAGGTAACAACAGTCAACATTCAACAGTCAATCCGATATGAGACGAAAAGTCAATTGGAAGAGTTCTTGCAGAGCAGATCGAGGAGTAGACATCCCTTAGTCTAGACAATAAATATATAGCTCACAATTATTGGATATATTTTTGGTATAGTATATCTGTATCTGTGTCTGTAGTCTGTAGCTGTAGTCTGTATATATGTATAAGTATATCAACTTCTATAAAGTTAGCTGCTCTGCTTGAGGCTGCTCCTACAGCGTCCCCTATTTCAATTGACAGCACATTATTGTATTTGAAATTAATCTCCATTGGAACACATAATAAGTACACATGCATATATAATTAATGTACACATACATATATTCTTAGGGACTACTCTTAGTAATGTTTGTGTATGTGTTTGTGATGCTCCCCTTCTGCTGCTGCTTCTGAGTGGAGGCTGCACACGCGTCGCTGGGTCGCTGGGTCGCCGCTTATCTTATCAGTAAGGCCAACAGCACCACCCGAAAGTGGGTGCGTCTGGGCACGATAAGCTAATCGAAACATCCGCCATAAACAAACGAATAATCGCTGCCCGCGGAGGCCTGACCACCGCCAATGACTTGCGCGAAATGGCCACGGCAAAGGGGATGCGGATGCGAGAGATGGGAATGGGAATGGGAGGAGCGGCGACCTAACATTGAACTTTCAATATTCTTGGGGCCTGGCGATGGCGACGTAGAAAATAAAAAAATAAAAAAAAACATAACAAAAGCGTGGGCCCCCCGTTTGGCCTGCCTCCCTCCGGCTAATCTGAATGGCATTCAAAATATTCCGCCTGCCGCTTTTGATAAAATTCTTCTTTGCACAGTGCTCCTGCTCTGTGGCATAATTTTAGCTTATTCACAGGAATGCCCCGAAAAGAAGACATCGACAGTGGGCTCCTCCGTCCGTTCCTCCTCCTTGGCTTGGCATACATACATATGTATGTATGTATGTGTGTATATATGTATGTGGCGGTGGGATTCTTATTCTTAGAGCACATGGAGATTCTCACAGCTCTTCGACTTGGATATGTCGCTGAGGCAGATTTTCTGCAGTATCTCCTTGGCCAGATGCAGTGATATGTGGGTGCGAGAGTGCTTCATTTTCGACTGGGTAGCCTTCTTCTCGCGTACCTCCTTCAGGCGCATCTAGTTGGATGAGAGAGCGGGCGAGAGAACCTTCTTTAATCTGGTTAACGTTAACCGGCCAGGTTTCCGTTTGAGTCACTCGCAGGCAGCTCAATTTTCATTAATTAGTGAACCGATCCGGAAGGATACACCACCCATCAAACCCCCACAACCCGCACCCCAACCCCAACCCCACCCAATTGTGCAGGGAATAAAGTTAAATGGATTTGCCGCGCCGTCTGGGTCACACTGGTGTGTTGGATGGGTTGGGGCAGACGGCGGCTCGGCTCGACTCGACTCGGCTCGGCTCGTCTCGGCATATCCATTTAACTTTGTTTCCTGCACCACCTTTGCCCCATGCATCGCTGGGGTTGCGTGTATTTCGCACCTAAACTGAAATAACCGCAGCCCACAGAACAGTCCCCAAGCCTGCACCTTCCATGGGCCTGCACCCGCTTTGGGCCACTCACCTGCTTCAATATGCCGACGAGCAGCTCATCGACATTGTGCTGTATGCCGCTTGAAGTCTCGATAAATTTGGCATCGCGTGAGGCGGCCAGGGCCTTACCCTCTGGGGAAATGGACAAAAACAAATGGAGTAGCAACAAAGAGTGGGGGGAGGGAGAACGAAATGAAATCAAGCCATCATAATTAAGAAGCAGGAATTATGTGCGTTACCTTGTGATGTGATAAGCCGGGCACGGGCCAGATCCGCCTTGTTGCCCACGAGAATAACGGCCTTGTCCTTGGTGTATTTCTCCTGCCACAGATAATTGATGATTTCCTCGGCCACACGGAACGTGCCCCGGTCGACCACCGAGAATACGACAACACAGCCGTGCGGCTCATAGGTGGAGAGGGAGTTCTCGACGCTCATTTCAACGCTCGGATGGTCGATGAAGACCATGTCCGATTCCTCGTCATCCAGCAGCACACTGACCGTCTTCTCGCCGAACTCATCGTCTAAAACTCAGATCAGAATTAAACTCTAAAGACGCAAGTGGAAGCTGGGAAGCTAGGGGTCAGACACACATAGGTTCCAGCTACGGGTACGTTTCTCTACTCACTGCGATCCGGCCCAAGAGACAGACAGACAGGCAGGCAGGCCGCTCATCTCCTGGCGACCCTCGCACCCAACACTTACCTAGGCTCGCATCGTAGGTGTGCATGTATTCCGAGGTCATGAACTGGTTGACCAGCGCCGTCTTGCCCACGCCGGCATCTCCGAGCATCACCACGCGGTAGCGGGCTGCAGGCGGCGGCTCCAGGTTGTCCGACTCGTCCGAGGACACCGGCAGGGAGTCCACGTTGGCATATCCGCCGCCACAGCAGCTGCCCTCGAATGGGGACCTCTCGCTGGCCCTGCTGTTGGTCGAGTTGACGCTCGTGTTGCTCCGCGAACGGCGCGAGATTATCGAATCGCCGCAGTTGACCACGTTCCCCTTGCTGATGGAGAAGTGACGCAGTCGGTAGAGATCGTCGCTGGCCCGCGGATTGTACGGGCGTTCCGGCAGAGAGCAGACTCGCGGCCGAATGTGGTCGGGAACTGCACGGGGGAGGGGGGAAGGTGACCCCGTTTCAAAGGTTGCACTGGGACCAGAGACTAAGGATCTGCCACTCACCTGGCAGCTCGAGAAAGTTCGACGTTCTCCGCTGACGTCCACGATTGGAGCTTTGGAAGGCCAGCGGGCCAACATCATCGTTGGACACGATGGACGCATTGGAGCAGGCGCTCTTCATGGAGTCCCGTGAGTTGCGGCGACTGGCGAGCAGGGCCAGGCCTCCCTTGGAGCTGCCCCTGCGGCGGGGCTTGTGCTCGACCACCTCGCGCTTCGCCTTGGCCGGCTTGGGTGGCTTGCAGCCGCTCAGCTCGTGATCCGGATCCTGGGTCAGGTCGCTGGTGGACTTGCGATAGCGGAGGGAGACGACGCTGTCGGAGCATGTGCGGTCCAGCGTGGAGTGCGAGCTGTGGAGCACCTGGTAGCCAGGATTCGAGGTGATGTTGATGGCGTGGCGCCGCTGGCGATGTAGTTGCTGCTGCAGCTGCTGCTGCTGCTGACTGTGCTCCGGGTCCGTGAAGCTGAAGCTTGTCGTGGTGTGGGTCACCTGGGTGCTGTTCGTGTGCTGGGTGCACGTCTCGCCCGACTCCATGGACAGCTGGGTGCACTCGGTCACGCAGGAGTCGCGCTTCAGCCCATAGTAGCCGCCTCTTCTTCCCCCTGCTCCGGCTCGGGAGCCCACATCGATATTGCTGATCACCGGCAGCTCCCACTCGTCGTGCCGCCGCTTGCTGCCATCGCCTACGCCCGTTGTGGTCACCAGAGGCAGCGGCTCGAGCGGCAGCTTGCTCCTCATCAGCTTCTTGGAGCCCTGGCGACGCGGCGAGCTGGGCGGCTCATAGTACTCGGGTCCCCCATCCGGCGAGAAGGGCTCGTAGTACTCAAACTTCTTGGAGAAGGTGGGGTGCTCCGCTCCGGCACTGGGACTCACGGCATCGAAGACAAACTTGCACGGCGCATTGGGAGTGCGGGCGGCTGTCGTGCGGCCGCTGAGCAGCGAGTAGGAGTCATCTATGGAGCCCGAGGGCGGCGTCTGGTAGTAGGAGCTGGGCGTGGAGCTGCTCCCGTCGTCGCAGCTGTCGCTGGCAAAGGATGTCGTGATTTTGGGACTCCTGGGCGCCTCGTATCCCCCGCCGTAGCCATAGCTCGGACTGCGCGGACCCGTCACCAGGGGCGTTGCATATACCGAGGGCGGTGTCGGATGGTAGGGCCTAAAATGGAGTGTGGAGTAGAGTAGAGTAGCTGTGGATGCCACCCTGGAGGAGATTTATTCTTACCTGGGCGCCTTGGGAGTGGCTCCTCTGCTCGGCAATGGATTGCTGGCCGTCCTTGCCGTTGACTTGTGCTGCGGACCGAAGCCCGCCTGCTGCCTGTAGCCACCACCTCCGCTGGCTCCCTCGTCCCAGCTGCGCTGCTGCTGTGCCATTTCAGTGCTCCTCCTATGCATCAGAGTATCACGAGATAAGGAGACGAGAATGAGCTCGGTAATGCTTATACTGATGGCTGTGTCAGTAGATGCCCCTGGCCAACAACTCGTGTGTAAATACCATGGGCCATTACTCACACACACACACACACACACACACACATGGACACCCCCCCTTCGGATACTTTGCCTAAATGGCCAGAAAGTAAACATAATTTATGGTTTTATCTCTATTTAATCAAAGTAATGAAAAGCTGCCCCATAGAAACCAGCAATCATAACGACCAGACAGCGGAACTGCGTCCACACCCGCCCCCAGCTGTCCACACCCACGCCCACAAGTCAACCGCAACCACCCCTGGGGTGGGGTGCGGTGCAGCTCCAAGGGAGCTGGAAATAGACCTGCACCCACAGAGTCAGAGCCAGAGTCCGAGCCAGAGCCAGAGCAAGTGGTTCATTTGGTGTTAACTGTGCGTTCTCGTATCTTCGGAAATGCTGGTGGCTGGTGGCTGGTGGCGTAAGTGGCTGCTGCTCCAATTACCGTTCCAGCATCAGCACTTGCCAACACACATTCCCCATTAGCTTATGCAAAAGTTCCGAAAAACCCGCCCATTGCACCCACTCCTCTCGTCTGTGTCTCTTGCGGTTTGCGTTGTTTGCGTGAAAGTTCTTGGTATTCGGTTTGTTTGCGGAATACACCCACGCCACGACACTACACGAGAGCTTCCTTCGCTACAAACTTCTCTAATGGGATTTACCAGCTTGAAGTGGTTTGGTTGGGTGGGTGGACGGGCAGGGGGTGCGCAGCCATTAAAGTTGAGCGAGCGAGCAGTCTCTGTGCGTGTGGAAAGTGTTGCCTACATTTCAGCTTGATTGATATGCAGATGCTGTGGAAACAATAGCTCTGCTCTGCTCTGCTCTGCTCTCTCAGCGGAATGTACTGGAACCTGCTTTGTTTTTCCGCCCAAGAGAGCCTTTTGCTGTACGCTAAAGACTGGCCATCAGCAGCGAGGCAACAAGTGTCCGCCCTGTTTCCCCTGTCGTTCAAAGTTCAATCGAACTGCTGAGTGAGTTTAGTATTCACTGAAACGAGCGGACCCAGGCCACTGGTCCACTTTAGTTTTATGGCCGAGCAGAGGTGCCGCCTGGTCCCCGCGGGCCAACATCGTTGCAAGTACTCACAGTGCCATTATATCGACTCGCGTACACCGCGCAGCACTTCAAGTATCCCATTGCAGTGGGGGGGTGGCAGCTGGCTTCCCCTCGTTCTCCACCTGCTGGGGTGGACAGTACAGGACAGGACAGGACACGTGTGCGGGCCTGCTGCCTCGCCTCGGTATCCGCTTAGCTCGAAATGTGACTCTCAACTGTTTGTCGACCGGCTTGTCGGTGTTCTGTGTTCACGTCCAACCTGCGGGCCATTATTATTTATCTGTCTATCGGATGTACAAATAGCACCCACACACAAACACACACACACACATGTGTATATGTGTACATATGTCGCGCACGGTGCGTGCGTACGTGTCCATACTGTTGTGCAAACAGCAAACAGGTGTAACTGCAGGCCAATAATACCTCTTATTCGGTGTCCTACCTGTTGGCTGTGTCCCCCAGCTCCCCTTACACATTGGTTCGCCCCCAGTCATAGTTCGGCTGTTCTTGCCACAGAGCAACATTCACCCACAGCTAACTCGATGCGTGGCTGTGCTGCATCCAGAAGAGCATTCCACTTAGCCTACAAGGCATCAATTAGTCGGGGGGTTTCCTCCTACTTGTTGTTACACTTTCTGTTACGTTTCAGTTTTCTTTCTTTTCCCGTTTCACGTAATGCCATGGCCTGTTGCCACCGCAACCAATCGAACGGACGGACATTGGCCCCCGGATAGCGAGCAGAGGGGGGTCGAGGCAGATAAAAATAAAATGATAACAAAACGAAACGAAACGAAACAGAACAAAGCGCGAGTCCAGAGCTCACCTTTTCCCCTAGGCCAGTTTCTATTCCTCTTCCACTCTGGCAACAGTTTTTTTTTTTTTTGGTTATGCGAAAATCTGCAGACAGGCTGGATGGGCCACAAATCAATACGAATCCTGTGCTATGTAGGAGTGGGCAGCCAACCCTCTCGGATCTGATGGCATTCAAATGTTTAATAGTTCGGTCCGTCTGCTCCGGTCCATTGTCTGAGCAGAAAAGGGCGGCATCGACTGGCGGGAGATTGGCTCCCCAGCTTATTGTATTAGTCGCGCATAAGACCCTCCCCTGGGGCAGCAGGCTGCAGGACCCGCCCAGTGAAAAAGGTAAACTTATATAAGCATAATAATCGTTTGTGAATTATTAAGGAAATACAATACAATAAAATACAATACATCTCCCCGCCGTCCGACTGGGTCAATCATTCAAAACAGAATGAAATTTTAATGGAATGTCAGCCAGGGCCAACTTTAAATCGAGTCTCAATGCTAAGTTATGCATGGGACCGGGACTAGCACCGGAACGATATGCGCCCGATTTGACTGGGGTTAAGAGCAATTTGCATACCCAAAGAGGTTTGCTTTGTGTCCCCGGAATGGCTTGCCTCAGCCTCAGCCTCAGCCCCAGCCTCAATCAGGTTTATGGCTTCTCTTCTGGGCTTTTGTGTGGCGCGGTCTACGACCTGCAATGGCGGTGCCACACTGCCAACTTTTTTCCGTTTTCCGTTTTTCCCTTAGTTTCCTTTTGCACCTCCTTTTACATCGCAGCACAGCAGTGTCCGACTCGTAAGAGTCTACCGTCATTATTTAGGGGAGGTAAGAGTAATGACTCGCCATGCACTCGCCCCTACCAACTCTCACTCTCTCTCTCTCTGTACCTTTGTTTCACCATCATTAGGTCGCAGACGTCAGCCATAAATGAGTTCTTTGGCAAATGGCTCGGACAACCCTTTGAAAAACTTGGCTTAATTACATGCCCGCCACCCGTTAAACGCATACTTAACAGACCGCCGACCCCCACTGACTCAACTCAACCCCCACCCCCGTACAAATATTAACTTGGCCAACAGGGTACAAGCTCCCTCCCCTCTCTATCTTTCTCCCTTTGGCACCCTTTCTCCATCTCCATCTCCATCCATCTGTGTCTCTGCTGTAAAAATAAACTTGAGTGGGGCGCATAGTGCGAGAAAACAAACAAGAAAAGTCCATAAAACACTTAGATCAAAGTATACTAAAGTCGCTAGACACTACACGCTACACGCACATGTGCGTGCCTCTTGTTTGTATGTGTATCCAGTGTGTATGTGTGAGTATGCGAGTGTGTGGGAGAAGACAAGAAACCATTGCCTAACTAGCGGGGCAGACACAGCGACAGCTACTGCCACAGGGAACGGCGCGGCGGTCCGTCGCGACGGCCCAACGACTCCAAATGGCAAACAGAAAATTAGAAATCCTGGCCAAAGTCACGTCGCAGCTTGGTCATTAGCCACCACTTGAGGCGCTCTACTCATTGCCCGCTCCCATCCATCGATTTTATTGCAACACATAATTCTTGAAGCTCAGGCCTGGGCCTGGCCCTGGTCCTGGTCCTGGGCCATTTGTGCAAATCTCATGTTGATGGCATATTAAGTGACCTCCTGGCTGGTATTTAGCCCAAAGCAGAGCCCATCATGGCACAAACAGAGTGTGTGGCGGCCAATTTGCACTTTAAATGCTTGCTGGGGGGGGGAGGGTCCATGGATATACGTATGCGTCATTTGTTGAGCGTTGAACCGTTGGGGGGGAGCAAAAGCAACAGTAGGAGCAGGAGTTGGAGCAGGAGCAGACAAACAAAGCGACGACAGTGCAGACGAGCTGGAGTTACGTGTAATTAGAGGCGTCTGGGTGCGAGGATTAGCAATTAAGCGAATGTCCTGCGAGCGCGCAACAAGTGCCACACGACGACAATGAGAGCAGCAGCGGCAGCAACAATGACAACGAGGACTCGCGTAATCCCAGTCATACAGGAGGAGGAGGAGGAGTAGTAGGGAGGGAGGGTGGTACAAAGCGAGCAAAGAGAGCAGCGCATAAATCAACATGTCAAATCGCAGCTTACAAAATGCCAGCCACCCAGACACACGCATACCAGCACACACACACACACACACCAAGTATACAGGCAAGTATACATACATACATACACTCTCCCCCTCTGTCTCTCACTCACACATTTTGAGGGATGCATTAGCATTAAATGTTTACCATTTTCAACCAATTTGCAGGATAATTTTGTCTGCTACGCGAAGTTTACTAATTGTCCAACACCAGACCACCATACACCACACCACACGACTTGGTCGCCGTCGCCGTCACTGTCACTCGTAATACCAACACACTAGCACCGAAAACAAACACCCACACAACGATGAGCAACAGTTTGGACACACACACACACACACACACACACGCAGCGAAGCCACACACAGCGAAGCCAACGATGAGCTGGCTGCGGTTCTTTGCACTTCCGTTTCCGCCTCCGGTAGCCGCACACTCGAAACTGTCCGCGCGGACGAAGCTGCAGCGGCCGCTGCTCGAGCTGAACTGTGTACTGTACTGTGCGTGGCTCCCCAAGGCAGCCAGCTCGGCCCGAGTTCTGTTCTGTTCAGGTGGCTCCCGAGTTGGCTGTCTGGCTGGCGGAAAGCGAAAGCTCAGTGAAAGTGAAAGCTCTGCTGGCCTTCCTTACTTCCTTCCACTCTTCCGTGTGCCTGGGAGACGGACAGGGAGCGGAGTCGAAGCCAGCCGCCATATGCAACAGAGTTGAGATGAGATATACCTAATACTCGCTCGTATTTGATTGAAGCTTGTCGGGATTAACCATAGGAGTTTACGGGCAAGAAAAAGTAATCTATACTCTTGCAGAAGATGAACTGGTGGGGTAGATTAGATTATTAAGTGTTTCGTTACTGGTCTCATAATGTTGCCCACATTATTGCCAAGCAAGAAAAGAGTTGGCTGGAGATACCCAGAGATACCTGCTCTAATGGCAGGAGCCTGTTCCTCTTGCTCTGAGGAAACATTTCAGATGGAACAATAAATATTCTTCCTTTGTTTTTTTGTTTGGATATGTTTTTGCTTTGTTTTATTTTGGTTTGTTTTTAAAATATCAACTTAGAAGCTAGCCTTAACACTCGCTTATAAAATAAATAGTCTGGAAGTCTTCGGCTTACATTATAGAGAAGCGATTGGGGGGTAGGGGGAAGTGTAACAATGTGTGTGGGTATGAGACAGGTGTGTGTGTGACAGGTGATCACTGATCAGGTGTGAAGGGCGGGTAAAGATGGTAAGATAAATTCTCATGATAGCTCCCAGCTCTCCTCATCCGCTGACTTAGAGGGCGGCGACGCGTGTGGCAAGCTGCTCCAGCTCGCTGTAAATGCTGGCTGGCAGATCGGAGCCCACCTGGGATTCGAAGTAGGTGCGGATGGCCTGCACCTCCTGCGACCAGAAGTCCTTGGGCAGCGAGAACAGCTCGCTCTCATCGATCTGCTCCTTCATGCCGGTCAGGTTGAGGGCTCCCTCCGCGGGAATGTGTCCAATGGCCGAGTCCACGAAGCAGGACTCGCCGTTGATGCGGCGCAGGATCCACTCGAGCACGCGTGAGTTCTCGCCGTATCCGGGCCACATAAACTTGCCCTCGGCACTCTTGCGGAACCAGTTCACATGGAAGATCTTGGGCACCGTGCCCCTCTTCTCCATGCTCAGCCAGTGGGCCACGTAGTCCCCAAAGTTGTAGCCAAAGAAGGGCCGCATGGCGAAGGGATCGTGCATGATCGTCTTGCCCTTGTGCTCGGCCGCGGCAGTCGACTCGCTCCGCATGGCAGCGCCGATGAAGACGCCGTGCGTCCAGTCGCGTGCCTCGTAGATGAGGGGAACTCCAGCCGGACGACGACCTCCGAAGAGCATGGCGGAGATGGGCACGCCAGCCGGATCCTCCCAGGCGCCATCGATGATCGGGCACTGAGCGGCGGGGGTGCAGAAGCGGGAGTTGGGGTGGGCGGCTGGCTTGCCGGAGTCCTTGCTCCATGGCTTGCCCAGCCAGTCGGTGATCTGCACATTGGGAGCCAGGCTGCTCTCCATGCCCTCCCAGTAGACGCCGCCGTCGGAGGTGGAGGCCACGTTGGTGAAGATGGTGTCCTTGAAGACGGTGTTCATGGCAATGGGATTCGTCTCCATGGATGTGCCTGGGGCGACACCGAAGAATCCGTTCTCCGGGTTGATGGCCCGCAGCACGCCCTTCGAGTCGAACTTCATCCAGGCGATGTCGTCGCCCACACACTCCACCTTGTAGTCGGCCAGCGAGGGGTTCAGCATGGCCAGATTGGTCTTGCCGCAGGCGGATGGGAAGGCGGCAGTGATGTACTTCTTCTCGCCCTCGGGATTGGTGATGCCCAGGATGAGCATGTGCTCGGCCAGCCAGCCCTCGCGCTTGGCAATGGTGCTGCCGATTCGCAGGGCGAAGCACTTCTTGCCCAGCAGAGAGTTGCCGCCGTATCCCGAGCCGTAGGACACGATCAGGTTCTCGGCGGGCTTGTGCAGGATGATGGTGCGCTCGGGATCACAGGGCCATGAGGGCTGTTCCACCTGGCCATTGGCGGGGGCTCCAACCGAGTGCAGGGCTCGGACGAACTCCTCCTTCTTGGCCAGCTGGCGCAGCACTGCGGCTCCCATGCGGGTCATGATGCGCATAGAGGCCACCACGTAGGCGGAGTCGGTAAGCTCAATGCCGATCTTCGAGAGCGGCGAGCCCACGGGGCCCATGCTGAAGGGCACCACGTACATGGTGCGACCCTTCATGCAGCCCGGGAAGCGCTGCTGGATGGCTGTCTCCATGTCATCGGGGGAGATCCAGTTGCCCAGAGTTCCCTTGACGCCGTCGAGGGGTGTGGGAATCGTCTCCTCGCGCTGCTCCGTGCAGATGAAGGTCTTGGACTCGACGCGGGCCACATCGGCCGGATTGGTCCTGGCCAGCCAGCAGTTGTCGTACTTGGGCAGGGCCACGATGGTGCCGGCCTCCAGCAGGCTCTTGATGAGCATCTTGTTCTCCTGCTCGCTGCCGTCGCAGATGTGCACCTGGTCGGGCTGGCACAGGGCGATCCCCTCCTCCACGAAACTGCGCACGCCCGCTGTGAGCGCGTTGACATCGCCGTACGAGATGGGTATGCCACGGATGTGGCTGTACAGGCCGCAGTTGTCCTGGCGCAGCTTGTGCAGCTGTGGCAGACCGCAACCGTTGGCGGAGCTGTAAGTGAGGAGGAGGAGAAGGAAACGGGAAATTAATCAAGTGCTTTTCACATATTTACACAATTGAATGAGTGGAACGGCGAGGCGACGCCGCATTAATTATGACAGTTTTCGTTTATGCAACTATTATTGTTCTCATTAAATGCAATTATCACAATTTTCACGCATTGCAAATTTGTTATAAAAATAAAATATCCGCAGGCATGCTGCACGGTCAGTGGAAGGGGCAGGGGCAGGGGCAGAAGGAGTGTGCGGTGTGGTGTGGATTTTCTGTGTGCGTGGCCTCTTTTTTCCTGGGGGCCAGCCAGATACGAGCATGTACTTACATAACTTTGCTTTGTTCGATGAGCTCAGGCATGTTGCTGCTGTTTTTTGTTTTTTGTTTTATTTTATATAGATTGATTTCCCTCAAGACTTTACTTTGGAATAAACTGCACAGATTTCTGGCTTTGCTTTTTATGGCTTTTTAGGAGTCGTGGCTAAATGTTTGGCACTTGCTTCTTTGATTTAATAAGCGAATCTGCTATCACAATAGTTTAATTATCACAATTAGTGTTTTTGTTTTGTGGTTTTCAGATTTTTCATATGTTCTTCCACAGCTTTTTGTCAAATGACAGCTTGATGCTCAGACCACTGAAAGTAGACTTTTCACTTGATCTTTCCATTTACTCCGGACACGAGTAACTGATGCCTGCTGCCAGCCCGCGCGGCCTTTTATACGCTGCCAGCCGATCGAGAGAGGCCTCGACAGCGAGAGAGGGTCAGGCAGCGGACGCGCTGATTGGTGAACGTTGGGAGGCTCGCCGATTGTTTTGGTTTTTCACCCAGATAGATGCAGAGCGACGACGCGCGTTGTCGAGCCGGTATGGCAGTGGGCAGGGGGTGGCGACGATCGGGTGGAGCGGTGTGGGGGTATGTATCCGCACTTGGCAACAGCATGGGATACATGGGATGGAGTGTAGTGGGGGGTGCTGGCTAGCCCGAGACACACAAGTACTCGTAGCCGTACCCGTACCGTAGAGCATTTTCTAGAGTGTTTGTCGCTGATTTCGGGCCCCAATAGCATTCATTGATAACAGCGGCATTTGTTGTTATTTTTTAGCATTTTCCCCGTTGTTAATTTAATTACTTTGTTTTTGGATGTTTCTGTGTGTTTTTATTGGAAGCGGTGCCTGGCACAAAAATAGCTGCCAGGATGCAAGGGAGTGGCGGTTCACGGCCGGGACAACAGCAGTTTCTTCTGCAAGCGAAACAGCTGTGCAGAGTCCCCATACATAGCTGAGTCCCATCTGCGGTGCATTAAGTGTAGGCTAGGCCCCTGCACGCGCCCTCCTACGCCATCACATGGCCCACACACACACACATATTCGATCCAATTCGATTCGATTTGTTTCTCCTTGGACCAGTGCCAAATCGAAAATACTCTCGATTTTTTTTTTGGTGACGGAAAAATTTGTGTGTTGATATTTCTGCCAGTTCCCTCTAAAGCCTGCTAGTTGACCATGGCCGGATTGGAGGCCGACGCATTCATGTGACTCTGTCCGGGTGATGGAGGCCCAAGAATAGCCACGACCATCGTTGGTCATGTGCTGACTCGCCCTCTCTCTCTGTATCTCTTTCTCGCTCTTTCGCCGCGTGGAAGGATAAATGAAGGTGCCATGATGCCGTTGGTGTGACTTTGCTTGCTCCGCTTGTGCCCATGCAGCCATCGGTAGACCGTTGTAAATCCGGTTCTGCCGTTCACTTAGCCTAGACCCAGAAGGGACTGACTGACTGGCTGGATCCATCAGCCTTGGGGAATCCAACCAGTCCCTCCCCTCCCCTCCCCACCCCTGCGCTGCGCCTGTGACCAAGCCCCACCCTGTGCGACTGGTCCAGTTGCAGAGTGAGACGAATACATCCACGCGCGTCGTTCCGTTTTTTTTTTTGTTTTTTGTTTGGCGGGTTTATTTATAAACTATGGACTTGTTTTTCTAGTTGTGCCTGATAATCTTCATCATCGGCGTTAATTGCTGGACTCTGACACTGGAACTGTCGTCTCCGCTCCACTCCACTCCACACCGATCCTGTTCTGCTCTCTGCCTCTCCTCCATCTGATCCTCTCCTCCCCCACACAGCAAGCGCGTTTCTGCCGAGTCGAGCTCATTTGTGAATTTACGTCAATAGACAGTCCCTAGCTGCTGGGCTGGAGCACAGGGAGATCGATGTGGGACAGCCAGGCGTTGTGTTATCAGCTGACGAGCCTTCTAAATATAGCGGCACTGGCTCTGGCACTGTCTGTAACCCGGAT